GATGGAATAGTGTGAGCACAAAGCACACCCCCAAACATCACGTATCACAGTCCAAGTGGAGAGCTCGAGAGCGCTATGAGCGCCATGAGCGTCTTGAGCGTCTTTGAACGTGCTGGCACGGCGAGCAGACGTGGTGGTCTTGGGTTTTAGGTTTCGGGTCAACGGTTCAAATGCTCAATCTTCCCCTTTTCCCCTCCAACCTGCACGTCCATGTCCATCACTGCCTGGCCAAGCGCCTAGCGACCAGATACCATGGCAAGTAATACCAGACCCTTGGTAACGAACGGGTGCCTAGCGAACTGACTGGTTCACCAAGACAGGCCTGGCGAGGGCCCCACTGCAGCAGCCAGGGGGGCCCCGGAGCAAATTGAGTCGAAGGAGTCAGCAGTCTGGAGATGTGCAAGACAAATTGCGAGAAAGAAAGCGGGAGAAATGTTTTTTTTTTCTTTCAATTTTTGGAGTCAGTGCTTACTCCGTGCATAAAATTGTTCACCAAACGTATTTGATTAAATGTTGAAATGTCGTAAGCCATGGAAGCATGACACATGCACGCACACACAAGGGCGGAAGGCAATTGCCATGTGCAGCAAACCGACTGTCAGTGCCATCATTGATCAATCGCTTGGCCGGTCCGTTGGCCACCCACCATCCACCACCCACACAATCCACCAACATCCCCTGTTCCGGCCGCCTCGAACCTGGTAGCTCGACGCCACCACTTATTAGAAGCATTTGGACGGCTCCGGCTCATGTACATACGGAGTACCAGCCAGTCAGTCCATCAGTCGACACGCGGGCCACGACGCTGGAGACGCATAGCGAACAAAGATGACATTTGTAACCAGCCCATCCGAAACCGAGTCGAGAGAGCCAGGCCACGGGTACATAGTATTACGGAGCACTACTGTGTGCCAATGCTACTGCTTTCTTCGCTCTCGTCTTCTCGACCGAAAACGCGGCCAGCAGACGTGGCACAAGAGACCATGCTAGGCGTCGTACGGAGTACATACATGGCTGAAAAGACTGTGGATGGCACAAGTTGGTTGAAGCTTTTCGTCTTGCATGTCTTGCCCTCGATAGACTATGAACGAGCTTTCAGACTCTGCACACGTTTCTGGGTACGTACATGCTATCCAAGTTCGATATACGCGAGTCACGTCATTTACGACAGCTCTTCCTAACGATAATGCACACTGCTGGCATTACACCATACATAATGTACTCAAACGTACTCCGTAAAGGCAATAACTACGCTGCCGACGGGGCAGGCAGCTCAGCCCCGGATCAAGTCAAGCGGCAACTAATGAGGTAAAGTCCTCCGTACTGGTCCCCGATTTGTAGTCTCCAGCGTCATCGAGGACACTAGCAAGCACGAGTTGGGAGAGCCGTGCAGTCTACCAGGTTGACAGGACTTCTCCGGCGCTGTTGGAAAATGCTGGGGGCGCGAGATGGGTCTGCTGGCGCCCAGCGAGAGAGGGCAAGAAGAGTAATTTCCTGCACATCACACTGCCGCGTGCCTGCAATGTAATAATGTTCGGTATGCGTTTTATTGGCCACTAGGTTTTGCGCAAGCAAGAAACCCCTGAGCTGGTTGCTGATCTACATGTAACACTCATCTTGTGGCTTTTGGCGTCAGAGGCACCCTGGTGCGTTTTCGGGTGCAAATAAAAGCGAGTTGCAATATTGTGTGTGGGTGGGTGTACAATATGATGTGATGTTAACAATGTTGCCCATGGCTCAGCTTTTCTTGACATCTTGGTCGTCTTCTCATGCAATACCACGTCATGGACGAGCGAGTCGGGTTTGTGCAGGTTTCTCTGCATAAGTCACACTTGAATATCATACACGGTGCCCAGTACCTAGTGCCAATACCTGCCCTTGACGCATGAATATTGTAGTCGGTACGGAGTACTCACTCAGAAAGACAGTGCGGGTTGAAGGGTCAACGGTGCATATGCGCGCGTCAGCTCCTTTCTTTTGGGGCTTTGGACAACCTTGAAGCTGCCAGGAATAGCCAGTCTGGAGACTGGAGGCAGGCTTGGCACAGTCGTTCCTGGCTCCTGCCCTAGAGGCCGCCTCCCCGCGTTCCCGAGGTCTGAGCTGAGTACCTCCACTCGATCCATCCATGTCGTCGTCCCATCAGCAGAGAACATTGCAGTGGCATTGTACGGAGTATGGATTATTAACGGCAAACATGTCTCCTCGACGCTCTGATGTTTTGTCCGATGTCAACTGGGCTTCAGAGCCTATCAGGAAGCTATCGCGCGTACGTATTCCGAACCCCGGGCATGCCTCATTACGGCGTTATGGGGGGGGGCATGCCCTATTGAAGGCCCGGTTGGCTAACGCATTGAAAGTGCTGATACTTATTTTGCCTCATCTTCATTGCCCCTTTGCCCCGTCGTGCCCTTCTCGAGAGGCGAATTCGACCCGATCCGCCCCTCCAAGGCCAACGATGTGGCCAAATTTCGATGCATCACTCTCCCCAGTGAAGCCAGCAGGGGCATCACACCACACCAGGCTTAGGCTAGTCGACAGCCACCCATCGCCCGAGGTCCAAGCTCAAGAACGAAGACGGAAAAATTTGACTTTCTAGTTTTCCTTGGTAGCAACGGTTTTGGTGTGCAACTGTCAGGCGTTGGCCTGCCATCTCAAGTTAGTATGCATGGCCAGACGCCGCGCTGAACCTTCCTCGTAACCCTAACCCGATACGCTCTCTTCTCTAGCTTCCGGGCCTAGCTCCGCGTTATAACCCTCAATCTCAATTTGGCACCGCACCGCCAACCTGACTAATTTCAGTTGAACCGGTCAAGGCCTATTAGTACCTTGTGCAATCTCCCCAATCGCGCTTGAAGATGAGAATTAGCCATACTACTAGTTTGCGGGGGCCGCAACGGGCCCCAGCGTTATACCATTTCCAAGTAGGTTGCTAGCTTTGCAGCATCAAGTTCCTAACATTGTACTAGTATATTAACTATGTGCATGTTATAGGATAGGTACGGACAACCCTCTTCACAAGCCGTCGCCAATCGGCATGGGATGACGCAGGCGCTCACCTGCAAGGTGATTGCTCCTTGGTGGATGCTGCACATTACCGCTCGGATCTGGTCGCTTGCTAGTTACGGAAGTAGTAGTACTAGTAGTGGTAGTAGTATCAATCGTTGTCAACGGGGAACAAAAAGAGTTGCCTAATCCTTCTGAATTTGGCAGGGCCTCGCTATGTTGAGTTTCGCTCAACTGCGAACTAGGACATGGTCCTGTCGGAATCAACGTAACCCTGCTTCATGCAAAACAAGGCGATGTCAAGACGGCACCGTGGAGCAAGTAGCCCGGCCGAATAGCCACTTCACAGAATTATTCAAGCTCGGGCTTCAGCTTCGAGTGAGCTCAGAGTATTGCTACTCTCTTCACGTCTTGACAACTAGTCCTCCTCCTTTCGCCACTTGCTATACTTCAATAACCCAGTTGGGCCGGTAAGTGAGGCAAGGATTGGTGCTGATCCTTTTTCCTTCGCATTCGAGGATGCTGCGCATATGCAGGCGAAGAATCAGCAAAAGTAGTATATGTACTTGGAACAGCGAGATCGGATCGTGGGTCAGGAAGCACCAATCTTCTAGCCCAGCAATGGCAAGTATCGCCTCTATGTAAGTGTCCAGACACGTCCTCATGTCTGTACGAAAGCCCAACTTGTCTACTCCAGAATCCTCAGTAGGTCGCGTTAGGAATAAATCATGTTTATAATACAAAAACAGGAAGGGGGAAACACGCCACTATGCAAAGGTACGGAGTGCACGAAATGCACACATGCATACATATGTACAATGTGCCATTGACGATAGTACGCGGCCAGGATACATATACATGCAGCCAAGCAAAATCTGCCCACTTCGTGCCTGGTTCAGCCCTTTTCATATCTTCTACCATATGGTCTATTTCACCGCGCGCAAACCTCATCTCGGTTATATGCAGCAATGATGCTTCTGCATTGCACACACCCATACTTAAGGTTTGATGACTCTAACAAGGCTACATCGAGGCACACTTGCTAACTCATACCAGCAGAGAGAGCTACCATTGACAAATATTCATATCTGAGACCCATCATCACACAACAGCAATGCCCAAGCACCATCAGCAACATGCATCTTCCCTGTCCATTTCTTGACGTGAGGGCTTATGGACTGTGGAGCATCCTATTTGCAGTAAAGTCTATACCAGGCCAACCCCCAGGCAAAAACAACGTCTCCCCCGGTTGCTGTAACTAAACGTCTGATCCTTGAGACTGCATGGCGGCGACTGATAATAGGTATGATCACCGGCATACTTGTTTGAGACAGCCCAAAACGGAATAACAAGCCGTCAATTTTCGCGAATCACACTAAATCAGACCACCTCTCAACCAAATAGAGGTCCGTGTCTTTACTCTATTAATGGCAGCTGTTTTGTCGTTGCAAGATAAAGGCCATGTTTTTGCGCGAGGTTGGAAACTCGCTCTGAATCGCCTTGGATGTTTTTACCCCGAGAGCCCTTCATGGTCTCTGTTCGGGGCTCGAATGCACCCGTGCCGGTTAGATCTTTTTTTTTTCCTCTTTCTGTTTTCTCGTGTTGCTTCCGAAATGTGAATATGCCGGCGTTCGCGTGTCATAGCTACCTTTGGATCCATCCCTCGACCACCACCGAGATGGTAATAGTAATATCCAACATCGACAAATAAACAAGTAGCGCAAGATTTCTGGTACAAAGATAGATGATCTTAAGACAAATCTGTACTAAACCTGGTCAACGGGTTCCATATTTTGGTACCGACTACTACGTAGGTAGTTCTTGTTCTGCAAGTGATGTAAGTGAGACACGCATCGATATCCTGCATGAACCTGGGCGACATGGGCGTCCTCCTACATCAGCATCATCTCCAATAATACCAGGATTAGAATAATACGACCCTCCTTCCTGGAAGAATATCCGCTTGCCGAGAGGAACATCTCCATCACGAAACTCCTTCACCCGCCCAATGCCCTCACACCTTTCCCTACACTGCCCGTCTCAAAAACCTCAACGACACCCAATCCCACCGCCTGACCCAACACCCACTCCCACTCAACGCCCCAAAACTCCTTCCACCTCGTCCCGTACAGTCCGTTGCCCTCAAACCTCTCCTTGAGCCACGATTCGGGGCCCTCGCCCCATTTCGTCTTGCCCAGCGCCTCGCGCACCCAGTCAACGGCTGCGTCGGCCAGCTTGAGAAATCTCCCATGCCCTGGTACCGCGATCCGAAGGGCAGCCAGGCCACCGCCCCGTCTCGTCAAGGCAGGCGCGCCGCCTCCTCCCCCAGCGAGATGGATGGCGTTTGGCCCCCCGACTGCTGAAACCGTGCCCGACGCAAACCTAGCTACGTGCTGGATGGACGTCAGGGTCGTGCGGTCCTCTGGCCGGACATGCAGCGTGCTCCCCGGCGCGGCAGTCGAGCTCGTCAGGAAGCCCGCCCTCACCAGCTCATCCGCCTGGCGGGCCGTCAAGCCATCGTCGCCTTCGCCCCCTCGCTCGACCCTCTGCGCGGCGGCGTCGCCCTGCAGGACTTGCCGAAACTTGGCCCCCGCGGCGTCTGATATCTCGCCCTGCGCCGCCGCCCTGCGCAGCATCTCCTCCAGCTCGCCCACCTCGATGAGCGCCTCCCCCACGCCGCCCCTCCTCTCGACCCGTACTCTTCGTAGGACCCCCTTGCCCACCAGCTCCGCGACCTGTCGCTCGATCTTCCCCGGCGAGCTGGTCAGCACGGCGTTGACGTGGCCGGCCGTCACGAGGGGGGGCATGGACGCCCGGTAGCTGAGCACCTCGGCGAGACGGGTGGACGTGAATCCGGATCCAGGAACAGCCGAGAACATGCGTGAGCGGATGTACCGCATCGCCTGGGGCACGTCACGGAGAATAAGTTCCTCCTGGGAGCTGAGGATCGGTGCGGCGCCAAGATCGCCAAACTTGAGGGGGAAGAGGGCATCGTCTTGGGGTTCTGGAGGTGGCCTCTTCCTGCGCACGGGGGAGGACTGGGCCGTTTGTGAGGATGAGGAGCGGGGTTTGGGCTTTGTGACGCGTGGCTTGCCCAGTATTGAGCGGATGCTTTGGGGCATTGCGCTTCCGTCTTCTCTTTGTGTAGCGGATGATGGACGTAAGATTTGAGGTGTAGGTTGACGACGACGGAGTAGGCGGCGGGTGGCGAGTCTAGTAGCAACAACAAGGGCTTGGTGTATGTCAAGTGCCGATGATGGGATGATACACACAAAAAAGCAGCCCGACTCCGTTAATATACTCGAAATACCTTTTCAGGTTCTTCTCGGATGTAGTATACATGTGAGGCTATGTGATGCAATGAAGTTGTTGTCTGTACCTACCCTACATGGCGGTCTAGAGGGTTTGATTACTAACCATCAGTACTTCCCACCCACATCACACAGACGGCGGAAGAGCAGAACAAGTACAGTAATCGTCAATTATACATGATTACATACATGCAAATCATACAATTTGTCCCAATCGCTAAACGCATGCTATCCAAATACAAATAGCCACCCACATACATGCCCAGGTACATACACACATGCAACTCGCTCACCCCGCCGTAGTCAGAATATACGACGTGATAGAACTCATCCTCTCGCTCGTCAACTTCAACGATATCCTCAAAAACTCCCTTGCAACACTCGGCTGATCCTTTTGCAATTTCTCCCACGCCTCGCAATCCATCTGCCACACTACACAGTCCCTCTCCACCACCGCCGTCGCCGTGCGTTCCGTCTCCGAGAAGAAGGGTAATTCGCCACATGTAGTGCCAGCAACTATGCTTTCGCAAAGCCAGCCCTGCGGCAAGTCGTACTCTGCGCGCAGAATGCCTCGCTCCACGAGATAGAAGCCGTTTGCTTCCTCGCCGCGGCGGAATAGAACTGTTCCCGCGGGGTACTCTTTTCTCTTAAAGTATGGCGTTGCCTGGAACCAAAAGTCCTCATTCTTGCCACTCAAGCCTTGGAAAATTTGGAGCATCAGGCGGAGGGGCTCATTGAAGCCTTGCCACTTAGAGGGGTGAGGGATGTCGACACTCGTGAGGGCCTCGCGGGCGGCCTCGACGAGATGTGTTTGTCGGGGTGAGTTGAACGGCGGGTCGAAAGACGACAAGGATGATGAGTTTGGCGCTGTTGGGACGTCGAGACTTGGTGTGGCGATTCGCTTGGCTGAGTTGAGTTCTTCTTGTCTGGCGTACAGGGTCTTGAGGAGCTCGTTTTCGCAGCCTTCCAGTGCCGAGTTTAGGTTGGGGAGCATGTTGACTTCGATCTTGTCGTTATCCAGACCGACAGCCCTGAGATTTCTCCCCAACTGGCTTTCTGCATCAACCCCGCTAAGGACAAAGAGGACGCCCTTTTTGTCAAGGAGACGGCTGATTGTGTTGAAGGCTTCGCCAGCAGAGTAGTCCAGCCCGGTAACGTGCCACAGGTCTAGGATGAGGAACTTGATGGGCTTTTTGGAGAAGGCGTGGTCATCTAGCAGCGCTCGAATGTTTTCTTCAACGCTGACAATGGTTCCGAAGAAGAGGTATCCAGTTAATTTCATGATGTAGATCTGCTGGCCAACCTGATTTAGGTAGTGGTGCTGTGATGGGTTGCGACGAACTGTCGAGCTAACAACTCCGCCATCATATGATCCCCGAACGGCCGAGACTCGAGAGGTCTGAATAATCAACGAAACAAAAGCCAACAAGATCCCGACTCCAATACCAACAACAAAGTCGTGAATTCCCATGACGAGAACTATGACGATTACGGTTAAGTATTCGGCAACCTTGAGCTTTTTACGTGGAAGCCAGATTGCTTCTAGGAGAAGTTCGAATCCCAGGTCAAAAATGAGGGTTCCCACCATCATAACTGGGATGAAGCCGATGAGTGATGGCCCAATCATCATGACGCCGAACGTGGCTGCGGCCAAAATGTAGCCCGCAAGCCTGTTGTCTCCGCCAGACCGGACAAAGAAGATAGTGTTGGCATAGACAAGGTAATTTTGGATACTGCCCATACACCCTGACAGAATATTGGAGTAGCCATGCAGTTTGAGCTCCTTGTCGAGATCTGCATTGTCCTCTCCCGTGTTCAAAGCTAATGCGGGCACGTTGATGGGGACGTGGAGGATACCAAAGAAGGTCAAAGCCATCATTGCAGGCACAACCTCGAGAATAGCATCCCATTGTACCAAGTTGAACTCTATGTAGCAAAAGTTAGCCTGCCAAGGTCTTGAAACCGAAAAGGGCAATAGATGCTTACGGTACAGCGTGTAAAAGTACCACCAAGGCTCCCCTTGTGGTGGCCCCTGAAATATCCAGCCCTTGTCACGCAATGCGCCCACCTCCAAAGCGTCAATCGAGAAGACAAAGATGTAGAATACCAGTGGAATGGCTAGGATAAAAAGCGGTAGGAAGTACTTGGACCGAATCTTGGACTGCCCGTAGAACAGTAAAGTGGCCAATACGAGCGGAAAGATCCACAGAAGGAGAGTATCGGACCGTGTCAGCTTGTTTAGAGTATCCAGGTTGTACTCAAGGCCATCCAAACGTGCCGAGACCTCAAATCCAGTGGCAATCAGGAACCAGCCAACACCGCCAATGCAGCCGATGAGGATATGCCTAGGGATGAAACCCACCATGTAGCCAAACTTGAATTTACCCATGAGGTAAAAGACTAGGCCCGTCATGATGGAACTCGCGGCGTATGCGACAATGGTGGTGGCGATAACGGCATCTGGCTTGTCTTCACCTACATTGTCCATAATCTTTTGCGCCATATTATGAAAGAACGGAACAACTTCGATCTGGTGTACATACAGTTAGTCGAGGCGGCTGGATGCGCGAGGAGCCTTGAACGTACCAGTTCGGACCCGATAGCTCCCCTGAAGATACTACCGGATGAGAAGGTGACTTGGGCCACAATCGTGCTAACATAGTAAATGGAGATACCAGCAGGGCCCAAATGCGAAAATAATTGCTTCCCAAGAGGGAACAGAATCATTCCTGACGGTTGAGTAAGCCATGGAGGTCCACAATGTTCAAAATTGGCTTTATCACAACCTACCGTAGGATAAGGCATCTAGAATATTGAGCAAGAGCCCAACAGTAACAGCCGGAAGGCACGAGACGGGTTCCACAACCATGTTATGCCACAAAGCCTTGCGATTCCATCGATGGGGGTTGACTGCCACCCTGACTACGTGCGAAACATGGCCCTCAAGTTTCTGCCCCTTCTCGACAAATCCGGCGTACCATTTTCTGAGCTGGGTATCCTTTTGTCCTTCGAGATCGCCAATGTCGTCGCTTTCATCCGACACATGACCTAGAAGAGGCGTCTGTTCGGTGGCAGCGGGAGTTTGCTCGGGCTGCCTGGGCTGGTCGTGCTCATCTTCTGAAGCTTTCCGTCGCTGTCTCGACTCAACGGCTCGCGGCTCGGTTGAAATAGGGGCGTCGGCGGTGACAGAATGCGGCGGTGATCTTTTCAGAAGATTGGACAACATCGAAGGTCCTGATTCCTCAGCCGCAATGTCCGCTGCAGTGTCTGCGGCAGTGTCCATGTCCCGCCCCTCCGGAGACGCTGGCTCCGATACTTCTGGGATGGTGCCAGAGGCCGCGGCATCGTCTTCGGTTCGCTTGCGTCCATCCTGAGCCTGTGAAAAGAGATCCTGTGCCGACGCTCTGTTCCGCTGCAAGAATGATGGCCGCCTGGCAGTTGTGCCATCGGACAACAGGTAGCTAGCTAGCTCGGCAGTATCTTCGCGGACGGTTCGGGCATTTTGCTCGCTGTCGACGGGAGCTGTCGCGAGTTAGTGGCAAGGAGCTTTTCGCGACGGTCAGCATTGGGGTTGGGGTCATTCGTACGCAGTTGTCCTCGAACCGAAGCATGGAGATAGGATCGAATTGGTTCCCGATACGCCTTGGGTGATCCTGCAGAAGAAGACAGGCGTTGAGCGGAGTCGTCATGGGAGGTTGCAGCTTCTGCCACATCGTCGTGAGAGGACTGCTGGCAGGCTATCTGCGAGGAGAAGCTGGAGGACCTGCTCCGCCAAGGCGAGAAACTGAGGATGGAAGTAGACATGGCTTGAGACTGGGGCAAGCAGCTCCCCCACGTGTGCCGACGATGCGATCAGCTACTGGCGTCGCATGGGCGTAGTTGGACGGAGGATGAAGGTCGGAAAGCACAAGCGGATAGCTCTGGACATGGAGCACAACAGGAGCACGAAGAATTTATTACACAATCATGGAGGAGACAAAAATCCATCAATTCGTGTTATCGAGCTGGAAGAGACCAGGAGTCTAGTAGCGGGAAGCCATAGCTCCACCTTGAAGACGCCTTTATCTGCGTGTGGAGCTTAACTCGGAATCGCTGGGTGTGGATGGACGGCTTGAGACGGGAATAAGCGCGACAAAAGATGGATTGAGGATTGGTGACTGTGGTGGTAGTAATATGCCGGCTGGTCTATGGAGACGGCGAGACGGGTTGATGAGCGACTGCAGCTATCGTGACGGAAGTTGGGAGTGGTGATGGTGTCAATCGGACAAGGGAGGAGGGAGTGACGTCGTAAAGGGCGATGATAGCGTAATGCAGATGGAACAGGTACGAGAGGCCGCAGCGCAACTACGCTGTATACTGATGAGGATAGGGAGTTGCCAAGTAAATCAATGGCAGTACGTAGTTGTAATAGCCAACGATGCGCATGTCCGTGTCTGGCCCAATTCAATTCAAGATACGGAGTAATCGTGCTGCATTGAAGACTGCACTGCATGTTGGGTCAGCCACCCAGCGGTGGTCAACTGCCAACCTGCATGCATGTGTGCGCCCCCACCGTGCCACCTGGTGCTTGATCCAGACCAAGACAAGCCCAAGCCCGGACGTGTTACTCCCTGCTTGTACTACCAGACTACTAGTACATCTACTAAGTACTTAAGTACGTACTAGGCATCGCCGCCCCTGTAATCGAGCCCCCGGCCCCACTGAACTGCTATCCGGACAACCCTGCGGGCATTGGGGCCTCTGCCCTCGGGTTCTGCAGCCAATCATGCTTGGCCGATTCGTCTCTATTGGAACTGCTACAGCTACTTGCAAGGGGGCTTGCAGCATGCAGCTCACAGAGTCCTTCAAATCGCCGACATCAAATCGACATCTCTTCCATTGCCAAGCCCTTCTTGATTGGCCGACCAAGCGTGACACAGCGTGGCCTACGGAATGTGCGAGCATGTACGGAGTAAACCGACCAGACTGCTTGATATCAATTGGTCTGTCCCGAAAGCCCCCAGTGCCTCCCAAACCCCCTGTCTGCAACGATCCAGATGTCGGCTTTCGTGGGAACGGCAAATGGTGGTTAGTATTTGCCAGTCCACCTCCAACGCCACACAGCTCGAGCCTCTTTTCGGCGTCGAGCCAAAGCGCACCAAGGCTTGTTGAGTGTACATAGTTCACTTTGCATTCAATTGTGCAATCAAATCAAAATGCCCGTCAAGTACCTTCCTCCTCGGTGTTCCTGCGGCCAAGCGTCGTCATGTCAGGCTCAACTACACAAGCTATTTCAATGTGTGCCAACTAGACACTTCCGAACCACATGCAATCATACTCGACAATATTTCCTACACATTCACCATCGAGAACAGTATTTATACTTGTGTTCCAAAACAAGTCCAACTAATTGGAAGCGACATCCTAAGTGTATTATATTGATACTTCTTCGTGCTCTTACTCCAAGTCATACTTCATTCCAAGACACATCTATTATTTGCTGTCCGCCTTTATATCCCAAACGCCAGTCCATTCCATAATAGTATATCCCAGCCCCTGTGTCTATATAGTCTTTTGCCAAGCCCTCTGAATAGCAGCCCAATACTGCTTGGGAAACTTCCTCATATGCTCAACGTGTCCACTCCCATCAAACATCTCCGTATCAGCCTTTCTCCCCAAGGCCCTCGCCTCGGCAACATTCGACTCAATGTCCTCCCACCCAATGAGATCGTCCTCCTTGCTGTACAGGTACAGCCTACTCGCACCCGCCACCTCATACTTTTCATTGTTGAGAGCCCTGACGCTCCACGTACCCGGGTTTTCTTGTCCAATCATCCATTTATATAGCGAGCTCACGGACAGAAACGCCGCCCAGATGGACTGCGTCATGGCAAACGGCCACGGGAACCAGGCCGCCGTTCCGAGAGTCATTGCCCGCGACCAGCGCGAGACGTTTGACCATGACCAATATGTGTTGCCCGGCGTCGAATCCAGGCTGAGGAGCCGGTGAGGCAGGGGCTTGCCGAAAACCTCCTGGTACGAGTTCAGCGTGGCGGCGTAGTTGATTCCTCCCGTGTTGGACATGGCGTGGACCAGAATTCGCTCGTTTTCGAGGGTCGCCGACTGTTCAGAAAGAGCTTTCAAGACTGGAACCATGTGTTCTGATCGCGTTTGGAGATCGGAGAACATGGCCCGATAGATTGGCGAGAGGATGACGATTTGTGTTGCGTGCGGGAAGAGTTCGCGGAACCCGTCGGCGTATTTCGCAACGTGTTTGGGGGTACCATCTCCCCAGCCGTACAGCAGAACAATGGTTGGATTGACATCACTGCGCTTCTTTTGCTCGTCGGACTCAATTGCTTCACCGGGTCGGGTGAATACTTGATCGGACAGCAACGTGAACCCTGGGAAGACGGGGGTTTTGTATGTCATTATTGCCCAACGAAGATGCGACGCCAAGCAAATAAAAATGCGACATGCAAGAGACACAAGATGGGAACAAGACTATATGTATTATGAAAGACTTGCAAGGCAGGCTGTTGCTCGACGTTTTATCAATGCCCTTGAAGTGTTAAACACACACCATGTCGGCTCTCATTCACCTATATATAGGTATATATATATATATATCTGTTTCTCATCGCCTGGTATCTTCACGTCACCAGTGGGAATTGGATGGGGCTTAGGCATCGGCAAAAACCACTTATCGCATTCGCATAATTCCCTAGTGTTTCGTCATCCCCAGTCTCAACACTTTTTCACCCCTTGGCTCGCGCGATTGCATGTACATATTTGTAGTCCTGAGCTGGGATCGGGTTCCCAACAATACATAGTCGATTAATTGGTAAGTGGGCTTGGCGGGTTGCCAGACAATTCAAGGTGAGTGGACGCTTCCCGGTTGGTGGGTCAGTCTTTGATGTCCGATGCCGAGGCACGGAGAATATGTTGTGATCAAACACTGCCTATTTAGGTAAAAGGGCCGGTCAGGCGACGTGGATGGCAGCGGGAAAATTCCACTATCCCGGTTGACGCACGGTCTGTACGGAGTGTAGTTTCTGACATTCGGACTTTTGCAGAGACGACTTGGATGGGTCATTCGTTGCTGTATACTCTGTGCGTTGTTGTCGAGAAGAAAGAATTCTTGGCACTTCCATCAGGGTTCCAATAGCTAGGTGACGAAGCGGCTGCCGCAGTAATACACCGCCTTGCTGTATCCTGATGACACAAGTCAACCTGCAGATCTGTAGGAGCCTCTCTGGTCTCCTGCAACGGTAGGCAACCGACCAAGACTCTTCATCCATTGGCAAGAAACTTGGAAGGATCTTTAAACCAACGACTGGAGCCACGCCGCTAGCAGGAACCTGTTTGACACCCGTACTTGCAATGTCGTGACTCGTGATATTTGACGTCCCAGTCCCACGCCCGTCCCTGGGTAATGGGTTAGAGCTCCGTTGCGATTATAGGCATAGGGCCGCACTGCATTTGACTGTCATCAGTACGCCAAGGGTATAGGTTACCAGGAACCGGCATTTTGGTGTAGTGGTGATCATGCTGCGGTCTTCATAAGAACAAACTCCCCATCACCCTGGCTGAATCGGTGGAGGGCCACCTCACGTCGTCTCCTCGACAAGATTTTGCATAATGGTCTGTGAAGACATCATGCGGCACTGTATTTAGTGCTGATGGACCAACGGAAACCGGCACATCAGCCGAGTTTCTGGAGATATCCCTGAGCAATCAACCGCTCCACATCGCCTTGCCGGACATAGAACTGGCTATTCTTCGTCAATGTAATAGCACTAGTGTCGTTGTCAGCTGGCATTGATAGCCCAGAACCATGCTTCCTACATACCCGTACTCCGTCTGGATCTCACCAGCGTCCTTGAGCACCCGTACGTCGATGAACAAATCCCGCGGCGGTTCCAAACTGCCAGTCAAGTCGATATCCGTCCATTGACCCTTATAAGCAGCCAGTAAGTCGCTATATTGCCGCACGTACTCCTCTTCTTGGGGGCTGAGACTGCTCGTCGAAGCCTCCCCAGCTGTCGGAGCGCCGTTTGCAGCACTTGAGTCGCGCACTTGCTGACCGGAGAGATCAACAACGTCTGACCCATTCCACACAAGCTCTTCCAGCTTGTCGGTCCGTGTTCTGTGGTATGCCAACAGACAGCGTTTGTTGCGTCGCATTGACAAGTGGTTCACGAGCAGGGTGCAAGCAACGGCTTGATCTGCGGACGGGTCGAAGGAGCCCTGGAATGGTTCAAGAAGGTCTTTGACGTCTTTGTCGAGATCTCTCACTTCTCTTGTCACTGCACGAACGAGCTCGGCTTGATATGGCGGTAGGTGGGCGAGGTTCTGAGTCCTTTTGGCGTGTTGAACCTGGCCAATGAGTTAGTCCCGAGGCATGGTTGCGGGATGCGTTCTCTCGAATCTGCGTACCAGTTTCACTCCCATGTCTCCGTACATGTTGGAAGGGAGGTGTCTGTCCCTTCTTGGCTGGGACAGGTTTTCCGCGAATTTTGCTTAACAAACAAGAAGCCAAGGGTGGCGGACGTCTTGAGATGGACGCGACTCGAGTGACGGACGCGTTCCAAGTGGGAGCACAGAGGTTGGTCTACCCCGCTATATCACTAAGTATGTACTCCGTAGCAAGCTAAAGTTGGCTAACATTTGAGAAGATTGGCTGTTGGCGCTGCCTGTCTGCCCCGCCAATAGCAAAATTGGTGCTTGCATGTGGAGATGGAGACCTCCAATTTCTTTCAGCACGCAAGTTACGGAGTAGAACATTGAAATCAAAGATACCCGCCTACTTAGTAAGTACCTGGTAGGCACCATGTAGCAGGCAATGGTCGCAATACTTGGTGTGAAGTCGTGAACCGCATGTCGGCTGGTTTCAGCGGTAGGGATGATGTCTTTGGGCTGCGATAGCCGTCTCAAATGATGCAAAACGACAATCTGGAACAAAATAGTACGCAGTAGGAAGTACAGATGGGAAAGTGGAAGGTGAAGAGTGCTCATATGGCTGCATAATCTGAGCACCTTTGGTTACCGAGTCATCTCATATACTACTGAGATGAGATGATCAGACCGCCAAGCAGAGATGGCCACATCTCAATTTGTTCACACGATTCGAATGCTAACTACAACCCACTACAGCTCAACGTATAGGGAGTAGCTTGCAAATATACGCCGGGACTCGAGCCCAGAATACCCTCTACTTCTCCCTCTACCAGGAAAAGAGTCAATTTGACGAAGGAGCTTCGGGTCGCAGTACTACGAGCCACCTCTTGATCAATGCTAACGGAATCTGTCACTGAAAATGCTAGTTAGCAAGTTTGTTGGCATTAGAACTCGAAAAAAACATGAGCGAGCGGACAGTGTTCAGAGATGCATAAATGCTTGTGATTTCGTCAGTCGGCGGGTCTTGAGTCCGCCTCCGAAACACGGACCAATTTTTCTCATCATTAAAGTCCTGGCAACTCGCCATCGTGGAAGAAGTGACCTCGGGCGTGCCGGAAAATTGTAGAAACTTACATTCAAGAAACAATTGAGCTTGCAGGCTGAGCATAAAGCCGAGGCTCCAACCAAGATGGACAAAGGTGTCCTGGAAGCAATGGATGCAGGCAATTGATGCTGCGGCATGGCGTCTACATGACTTGTTCAGTTTTTTTTTCCTTTGGAAAAAAGTAGAGGTGCAGGTCGAGAAAATCAGCATGGAGTGGCTAGAAATTTATTTGTTTTGCCTGCCCCAGCTCCATGTAGTGGATCCCTGACCAACGCTTGGGAGAAATGAGCGGAGAAAGCGTCGGGCCGTGGACCACCGTCACCACTGGAGCACACAGCGCCACTGAACCCGACGTAAGAGCTCTAGCAGCCTATCGCCTCGAGTAGTGTCTCGTGCAAGCTCCATTTACATTCTCATTCTCGAGTTCTTACAGTCGTTCAGCTCTCGTTTCCTACCACAACTCCTTTGACACAGAACCATCTGGACTCTTTGCCAGAGCGCGAGATAAAATGCCTATTGCCCCCATCATCACCTTCAAGGCTGGCCAATGCGAGGTTGACGTATGCCGCTCCTGCCCTTACCCTGCCGTTACACTGTCTCCATGCTTGTTTGACCTCGTTTCTCACTGACATCTCATCTTCATAGGACGGCTCGTCACGGCCTCTCAAGGTTAAGCCTCAGCCTCAGCCTGGGTATCTCTATCTATACTCTGAAGATGGTACGCTCCTTCAATTTTGAGGCTAACATTCGTTGGTTCTAACACCTGCAAGACTTGATACATTTTTGTTGGCGCAAACGCGATCAGACTCTTGATGAGCCGGAACTTGATCTGGTCATGGTGCCAACTGATGGCAGCTTTGTCCCTCACGAACAAAACTCAAATTCCGAACCCACCGCAAAGACGAATGGCCGTATTTTTGTTCTGAAGTTTGCATCTTCGTCTCAGCGCTACCTGTTCTGGATGCAGTCAAAACCACAAAGTCGCGATGGGAACCCCAGCTGGTTTAGCCCCAGAGATCGTAAGATTGGCGACATTGTGAACAGACTGCTACAGGGTGAAGAGGTTAATGTGACGAGCGAGCTGGCTTCTGTCCGAAACGTCGACGATCGAGACGATGACGATGACGAAACCATGGAGGATGTCGAAGGCACGCGGGGTCAACATGCCCATCATGGTAGCGGGAGCGGCGGGGCCGGTCCTGATGCCACTGGAGGAGACGTCAGAGAAGAGGGCGAAGAGTCAAGAGAGGGTGGTGCTGATGGTGCCAGAGCGTAGGTCATCCCCCATTGCAAGGCGGTTTCCCCTCCAAAGAAGCTGCAGTTATTTTTGTCTTCTCGCTTTTTGGCCGTTGCAAGCTATGTGGTGCCGGGAAGAGCGGAAAGGGTTCACAATCAATGTCCGTCCCAGTGACTGTATTACTACTAGAGTCTCGCATGTCGCAGCAGAAGAAAGCTAAACAAATGACGCATGAACATGTACTTTCTGAGTGGATAATCTCGTGATTTTAAGCTGACCAGCCTCTAGGGCTTCCTCGTCAGCACCAGACGCCGCAGCAGCCGTGAGAAACTTCCTGGAATCTTTGAGAGGCCAGCAAGGACTTTCGGGGGGACACCAGCAACAGTCGGACGTGCCATATCCTTACCTCAATCATCTCTTGCCCACCGCAATCACAGTGCCAGTGATAGACAGCGCAGCACCTGAATACATTGATTCTTTGTTGAGCTTTCTGCCACCGTCTGTCATTGTCCTTGCCACTGGAACAGCTCGAGAAGAAAGCCAGAAGGAGCCATCAGCGCATGCTATTGAGGCAGCCAAGGCATCGCTCTCGTTGGACGACAAACGAAGCTTATTGAAGAAGGTTTTAAGAAGCCCTCAGCTTCACCAGGCCTTGGGGGTCTTAACCATGGCGTTGAGGGATGGCGGACTTCCCGGGGTTGCGGATGCCCTGGGCATTAGGGTTGAGAACGGTGGCTACATGCAGGGCAGCGGCATGCCGCTGGGAGGAGGCCAGGCAGTCAAGGTTTTTGTAGATGGCGTTAGAAAGACTGTTCAAGAGCGGAGGCAGTGAACAAATGATTTAACGTCCCTGAAAAGCCGAGGTTTGGTTGACAAAGGGGACACACGTCCCTGTAGTGTTCCTGAGCGTGGCATGTAGAATACTGCTATTTGCATATGCCAGACTTGGGCAAGACAGGCCTCTAAAATAAACGGGCATGCTACATACCAAGGACACACCCAGGAACCAGGGAAATACATTAGAAATGCTGTTTTTAAGTTTATTGAGTTGACATTGCTAAATCAAAACATGTCCCTCCAGCAAGTGACTGTGATTGCCCATCTCCAAAATGCTGGCCCCACGTACGACTCGTGGGTCTGACGTACAAATGTATGTACAAACGTCAAGCTGTCCAGGAAAGCTGGCACCGCCCTCAGCGCGGACGAGCAACTCCATTCACATTCCATGCTTTGTCGATTGCGAGGGTAGAGCAGCCAAAATGGACTTGCCATTCCCGACCGATATCCAGGAGTTCGACGGCGACGACCGGATATCGTTTTCACGCCTCGACAACAAATTCATCGCTGTTCACGACGACGGTACTGAGTTCGAGTTCGATGCGCACCTGAAGCGATGGGTGCCTGCGGAGGAGGAACCCCTAGACCACGAGGAGCACAGCTATGGACAAGACTCTTTGGCACAAGAATTACAAGGCGGTACAAGGAAGAGACATCTTGACACGGAGAATGGGTCCGAGGTGAGCTCTTGTTGCCTGCAGCACCACATTGTGATTTCGCCGCCTCTACGTGCATGAGAATGAAATAATGGCGTAGCCTGACAGTCGCATATTGCCAGGGAAGCAACCAAACACCGCCGTCACGTCCGAATAAGAAGCAAAAAGCACCTCCGCGGCCGCGAGAAAACACCGCCGTCTACGTCACCGGCTTGCCTCTCGATGCAACGGTGTCTGAAGTCCACGATTTGTTCTCGCGCAAGGGAGGTGTCATTGCCGAGGAGATTGACAGCGGTGCGCCGAGGATCAAGCTGTACTCAGATGAGGCGGGGAACTTCAAGGGCGACGCATTGATTGTGTTCTTCAAGCCACAGAGCGTAGAAATGGCAATTATGCTACTAGACGACACGGATTTTCGCATGAATGCCACGGGGACACGAGAAGGCAGGATGCGGGTCCAGGCCGCGGATTCAAGCTACAAAAAGGTCCAGTACGAAACGGACGGGACTCCAGGCGGTGGTAGCAACGGCGGGCGGGAAGACAAGCGGCCACAGAGAAGCGACCGCGACCGCCAAAAGATTATCAAGAAGACGCAAAAGCTCGACGCCAAGTTGGCGGATTGGGACGACGACGATCCTTACATAGCCATGACGCAGTCCAATTCAAAGAGGGACAAGACGGTTATCCTGCGCCACATGTTTACGCTTGAGGAGTTGGATGAGGACCCTGCTGCCTTGTTGGAGATAAAGGAGGACATTCGAGACGAGTGTGCCAAGTTGGGTACGGTGACGAGCGTCGTATTGTACGATCAAGAAGTAGATGGCGTTGTGTCGGTGAGGTTCAAGGATACAGAGTCGGCTGCGGCGTGTATCAAGCTTATGCATGGGAGAAGCTTTGATGGGCGCGTGGTGGAGGCTTCCCTCAAGACGGGCAAGGAGAAATTCAAGAAGTCTGATAAAGATACGAGTAAGGATGATGATTCAGATGAATAGGGGACGGGTAGCTTTTGGAGGGATGGTGTGTTTTGTATTAGTAGTAGATTTGAAATAAAGCAGATACCCTCGAAATACATGTATCAATATCACGGCTCCCTGGGATTTGACAAAAAGGAAAGAAAAAAAAGACTACGCCGATGCTCCTAGTTTCCCCCTTGTACGCCATGGATAGAACTAAGAAAGGGAGGCCTTCTCCTCCGAAATGTACCAAATCGCCGCTTCGATGATCCTATATACGATTTGCAACTCCTGTTCATCTATGAAGCGTTAGCAATATACAGACTTGTGTACATGATTCATGCAAAGTGATCAACAAAGACATTGTCACTTACTCCTCGGAGCATAAATCATGACAAAATTCGGCGCCACCGGCATCTGCAGAAACCAGCCCTTTCTCGCAAGCGGATGCATCTGCCCCCATCCCTTGGCCAACACCTCCCCAATGTCATCCGGGTGCAAGCACATGTGCATGGAATGATCCGAGTCGTGGACATGAACAATCTCGCCCTGGCAATTCGTCCGCAGCGCGTGCTTCGCAAACAAGGCCAGCCCGTGCTTCTCCACGCACGACCTCTCGGTGCCGAACTTGAGGGGGCTCCCGTTGCCCAGCTTCACCATGGCCCTCCGCAGCGTGTGGTAGCTATTCCGGGCGCCGTGCTGGTCCAGCTGCCGCTGGGGAGCGATGCCCACCACCCGGGGCCGAGGGCCAGAGCGGTAGGGCAGGCTTTGCGAGCGCAGGGTGCCGGATGGCGAGGCGTGGTTGACGGCGAGGTGGGCGGGCGGCGTGAACGGGTCACGGAGAGCCCAGAGACGCCACCACGATATCTGCAGGTAGCCGTAGAAGGTGGGCGATGTGCCCCCGGGCCCGAGGCTGAGGAAGTTTTCGTAGTCGTTGTGGACGAGCACGAGGAGAGGGGTCAGGAGGATGAGCCATTCGGTGAGGGCCGATCCCAGGCAGTGGATTGAGATGAGGAGGGCGGCGGAGAGGGTGAAGATGCTGGAGCCGGTGAGGGTGACTGATATTGGCTTCTGGTGCAGTTGACACGATGGTGATGATGACTGTGGTGGTGGAGGAGGCGGAGGAGGGGGAGATGTTAGAGTTACGACGTCGTGCTCGGGAGTCAGAGTAGAGGTGGCTGACGCGATGGTGACGGACATGTTTGCTCAAGAGAGACAGGTTACGGATGTTTATTGTAGGGAACGCCTTGGCCCAACACTCTATACGGTCCCAGTAGACACAATGGACAAGACGAGATTCGGCGTGCTGATGCACCGAGGAGCTCTCGCGATTCCATCTCAAGACGGGGTTGTCCTTGAACCAGTCTTTTATGCCACACATGGCCTGGCAGCTCCCAAAAGCCACCGACCCAAACCTGACACATCTTTTGGTATCGGACGATTTAAATCCACGTTATTGCTCTCCGTGATAGGCCCTCTGCAGGAGGAGTTTCACAAGGCTGCCCCCGTGACTGTTAGTATGTAAATGGTTGTTGGCAGCTGCATCTAGTAATCCGTACATGAAGCCACCGGGCCACCGGGCTGCTTGCTCGATGCGAACATTGCCAGTTATGCGCTGCGCTAGGTCAAACGGTAGCGCCCTGTGAGTTCTCAGCCAGTTGAAAAGGGCTGTGTTGCGGTATCCGGCCAGCCATGGCGTTGGGCCGCCGATGCTGGTTGAATTTTGGGTTTCGGGCTCGTCGTGATTCGGGAGTCGAGACTCTTTGCAGCACTTGACATGTCGTCTCGTCTTGCTATGAGCGGGGACCGCCTTCGCCTTTATTGCGACGACCAGCCGCGGATAGAATTCAAGTGTCAACTGGTACCAGACACTACATATGCAGTGCGTTTGTATTCAACCAGACTCACGGACAACAGATATTTTGACGCCAGGGCGGTAAAACCATCACCGCAATTTCTCATGGTGGTCCATTGGGCATCAGCACACCATGCAACGCCTATGTATGCTCTGTACGGAGTAGACGAAATCTCTCTTTCCGCTTCACCAGATTCCACGCCATTGCAAGCAGGCGTTCTAGATCTTTTGGCAAGCATACGCACTTCAATGGCATCCCGTAATCGGACTCGAACGTGCAACCCGCCAAGCACGCTGTCGGTGTGCGTGTCACTGCGTGATGACGCGGTTGGACGAGGCATGGCTCGTCACCTCGTTGCTCGGCAACCGCATCTGATCCCCTGCCAACACGCATGGTCCAATCCACAGCCAACCTTTGCCTGGACTGAGACATCGTTTTGCGGTAGAAATTTCCCTTCGTGCTGCATGACTAAAAATTGTACATGACCATTTTCTTGCTGTTTTATCCCACGACTGGAACGCAACACACATGATAAAGTGGGAGCATTCCAGCACCAGCACGTGGATGATATATCCGCCCGCCTAAGTTTACCTTGCCGCATACCTTGCGCGCTCCCTATTGAGACACTTCACAGTAGGTTCGCTGCTCTCTCGTTTGTCTGATGGAATTTCTGTTTCTGTAAAAGGCATTAACAATGGATATGTAGTCGGTACGGCCGCCGCCCTCATGGGGCTGCTCTCCAACCCTCTCCGGTCCCGCGAACAGCGGCTGCCGCTCTACGAGAATCCACAATCACCGACTAAAGAACGTTACTCGGATGACGAATACGACTACTCAGATGACGAGTCTGACGGGTCATACCGCTCGGGGTCTTCATCGCCGTATAGTTCGAGGAATGTATCCGACTCGGCGCCCAGTGGCCTATTACTACTGCCGAAGCGGAAACTACTACAGCAGCCTCCCAAACATGGGTTCTCACGACTGTATCCCTATCGGCTACCGACAAAAGTGACCCGATGGGTGCTCATCGGCGGGATTGGCACAATTGTCCTCATGGTGCTCAGTCTTGTGCGTGCAAGTCAAGTTGAGAATTGGAAAGTGGCAAATGGACAAGTCAAGACGACGACACCGCCGCCGCCGTTGTGGGAGAGTTTTCCGTTTTTGGAGAGATATTACGGTGGGATCCGGACGTTGAAGCCGTTTAACGAGAGTGAACCGTCGTATCCAGTTACGAAAGAGCCCATGGTCTCGACGACTTTGGGAGACGAATCTGCTGCTGTCAAGACTGCTCGGGATGTGATTAACGAGGAGCTGCCCCCTAGCTTGTCGTGGGAGACGTATCCTACTGCGAAGAAGGAGTCTGGTATTCAGGAGTGTTTCATTGATGCTGCTGGAAAAGTACGCGTGCCTCCGTTGAGGTACTACAATGGCAGAACCCACGGCTTTCCCGAGCACGTATCGGGGTCCTATGAAGTTCTTAAGCTCCCTGACGACATTTGCTTTGAGCGGTATGGCCGGTATGGACCGTACGGCTTTGGGTATTCGCAACGAATGGGCGGTCTGAGTACCGGGGAGCACGGTGAGAGCGAGGGCTTTGATGCCGTGTGGGAAAAGACGCCACGCGTGGACTACCGATCTGTGGACTGGGCCGATGTACAGCGTCGATGCTACAATGCCAATGTTGGACGATACAAGGCTCTGCCGCCCATGACGCCTTCTTCTCATGGGTTCTATATCGGTCAGTCCAGCGCCGAGAGCATCTTGGCTCGTCGGTCCGAGGACAAGGACACCGTCAGAGACTCCAACACTACTCAAGAGGCCGAGCAGCCCACGGCCACCCCTGCCTTTTCCGAGAGCACCAAGGGCAGCGTCAGTACCGGAAGCACTGCCAGAACAGCAATTGTAGTTCGATGTTGGGACTCGTATCTCTTCCGCGAAGACGACGTTGCCAACATCCGGTCCATGATTACCGAGTTATCCATGGCGTCTGGCGGCAGATACGACGTCCATCTCCTTGTCCAGGTCAAAGAGGACGGCAAACACCCCATCTGGGCTGACCACGAAGCCTACCAGAAGCGGATCAACGAGACCATCCCCAAGGAATTCCAAGGCCTCGTCACCCTCTGGACGGAAACCCAAATGCTGGCTCTGTACCAGGGCATTTACGATCTGTGGACTCGCGGACCGGATCTGCCCGTCCACGGCGTCTACAGAGGCCTCTCTATGGCCATGCAACACTTTGCCTACTTGCACCCCGAATACGACTACTTTTGGCAGTGGGAAATGGATGTCCGGTATACGGGCCACTACTACGACTTTGTCACCAAGCTCGAGGAATGGGCCAAGGCGCAGCCTAGAAAGGGGCTCTGGGAACGCAACTCCCGCTTCTACTTCCCCAGCGTGCACGGCACCTGGGAGGACTTTTCACAAATGTCCCGCGTGCAGAGCGAAATGGGCACCGTCGGCGCTGACAATGTCTGGAAGAAGATGCCGGGTGAAAAGACGCCCGGCACGACGCCATCTATGGGCTCCCGGATGATCTGGGGACCCCTTCGACCAGCCGAGGAGCAGGACTGGTTTGAGACGGAAGCCGATCCCGTTGCACCGACCACGTACGAGGCGGACAAGTACAAATGGGGCGTCGGCGAAGAAGCAGATTACATCTCGTTGAACCCCATCTTTGATCCCGAGGGCACGACATGGGTTCTCAAGGACGACATCACGGGGTATAACCGCACACGACTGCTCCCGCCACGCCGCGCCGCCATGATCACCACGTCTCGCATGTCGCGGCGTCTGCTCATGAAGATGCACCGCATGACGGCGTTCAAGAAGCAGTTTGCGTTCCCAGAGATGTGGCCCGCCACCGTCGCCCTCCAGCACGGCTACAAGGCCGTTTACGCGCCGCACCCCATGTACGTCGATCGCAAGTGGCCCGTCGAGTACATGGCGCAGACGTACAATGGCGGCCGGGACGGTTCCAGCGGCGGCGCGAGAACCAGCGTCTTTGGCGAGCGCGAGCACAACCTCAAGGGGCTGAGCTGGTTCTACAACTCTGGCTTCGCGCCCAACCTGTACAAGAGATGGGTTGGCCTCAAGGTGAATAATGACGGCGGCGAGGAGTTTGAGAAGAACCAGGACGAGACCAAGGAGGGCTCGGGCGTGGGCAATATGCGTGGTGGTGAGGGGAGGATGTGCGTCCCGGCCATGTTGCTGCATCCTGTCAAGGATGTCGAGCTGCCGGTTGAGGCGCCGCCTGAGGAGGGTGATGAAGGTGTCGAGTCGGACCCGACGGCATGATTTGGGCATATCTGTTGTTTAATGTTGTGTGTTTTATTCTTCTGTTCTAGATGGACTGGTGTACAGGGCGCTGGGAATGACTTTTCTTTCTTTCATTAACAAACTGGGTCGTGCGGCCGGATCCCATGGGACGATTCTATGCCGTAGAAACATTTACGATGTGTATATCCGTATGTGCGGATGCAATAAAGCTGGCCTCGCTCGGGCATGGCTGTTTCTTAAGTGCGTTGATCAACTGAACTGAGAGATGTGTTCCATGACGTGTACTTTTTAACCGTGGTCACGAAAAAGGGTTCGTCTTCTGAGTGATTCATTGTGGATTTGACGTGAACGGACTTTTCGAGTTTTCTCCATTCATTATACGAGGAATAAAGACGCATCTATTACCGCCTGAATCTTACATCTTGGGCCCCTCACCCTAAACTAAGTCTTTTGCAATGCTCACCCTTGCCGTCATTCACGTGTTCCCAAGACCATTCCCGTTTACGCCAATATGCTGCTCGTGAAAATCAAATAACCGCGTTTTGACAACTGCCCCAAAGTTGAAGCAGCTGGGAAAGAAACCAGGCTGCTTTCTGCCGTGGTCAAGTGCTTGTCGCTTTTTATTCTCTGTGAATAGGATCGAATGAACAAATCAAGAATACCGCCCCATCCCCCTTTATACGACACGCTTGACCTCGAAGAAGCGGCGCAACCACCAGACCTGGAACAGAGACTCGCCGAGGACGACGCCAATGACAAACAGGTTCCACCACTTGACGCGGGCGTTGGTGCTCTCGGCAGTGTTGCGGTGGGTCCGCTCTCGCATGATAATGTACTGCTGTTCGTCCTTGACTTGGGCAAGGAGATCGGACAGTTTGCGGACTGCGGTTTGGCATCGTTAGCTTTGCTGTGGCCTAAATGGGGATGATCAGATAGTTGTATGGTAGTACCTTCGGCTTCAATAGGGTCAGATGGCATTTCGGATTCGCTGACATAGACGACACCGTGGACGTTGAAAGAAACCTCCTTGGTGTTTGCTCCCCAGTGCTGATTACCGAAGCAGTATGTGTATTTGCCGTCGGTGTGGGCAGTGAAGGAGTGGTCGCCGGTAGAGACACTCCTCTCGTTGACCTCGTAGCCACCGCTAGGGTTCAGTATCTGCAGGCAGCCAATGTTAGAGAGATCTAAAGTCCAAACAAAAAATGATGCTGATATCGCGTGGAAACAACCGCCCTTCCCGCTGTTTCGTATGCAGTGGTGCGGATAACGCTTTGGGGGTCGGGCAAGCTCATACCCAAAAGTCGACATCGAGATTGCCAGCGCTGCCAAATTCCCGATCACCAGTCTGGAAGGTGACGGTCATCTTGTCGTCGCGATGCAGGCTCTCGTGGAAGCACTCGATGCCGTGGGCAGGCAGCACAATGTTGTGTGCGCTAACGACTTGGAAGGCCACCGTCGCCACAGCGAACAGTGACCTCGCAGCCCAAGGCAGATGCATTTTGACGTCGTATAGTCGAAACGTTGAAATTGACAGCTATATCTCTGCGCTCGTCTGCCTGCGGGGCGTTGCAGTGATGGCGAAGCGAAGCAGGCAGAATATAATTATCGAAGCTGGGGAGCTAGTAGGTGCGCGAACGTGACACCTTTTCGCTGGCGATGGGGATAATCTAGATGGAGGTTGCTCCTGCTGTTCAGACAGGGGTTGGCCAGGAGCGAGAGATTGTACATGTACCCGCTACTTCTGGGCCATGGACTTTGGATGAAGCTTAGTACTGCGTCCCGAGGTTACTAGGTACATTGCTGCCACGGGAGGGTGATTAGGGATGAACAAAAGGTGGAACCCAGTCCTCGGGCTCTGAGTGGCTCGTTATTGTGGACAAAGATTCCAGGTACCCACCATTGGCTTGCACTGAGTTTGCTCGACTCAGGAGACTTCAGGAGACTGACTGCTGGGAGACGAAGCCTTGATTAGCCTCGGAAGCCTCCACGGATTAACGTTTCCCGAACTTTACGAGGCAGGCACCATTTGCCCTCAGGGCAGCAGAGACTTGTACAGTATTTACGCACAGTGAAGGGTTAGCGCAAATGAGTATTTTTAATCATGAGCTCTGGACTTCCATGCTGCGTACCAGATGACTTCGCACTCGTTCAGTGTGGAGAAATGGTTCATTTCACTGTATGCCCCGTTATTTTTGCACCGTAAACACGTGCTAGGAGTTCTCAGTTGAAGACAGGCAGAGCCGCGGGTTCTGTGGCAGTCAACGGAGTAGTAGTTGTAGTTGTCAAGGGGCATGTAGCGACCAGACAGGGTCCGACAGGAAGCCACAGTTAGCAAGTTCGGGCCCTTTAGGGCTGTGCACAGCCCTGAGAAGAATTATTCAATGTTCAATGTCCGGTACAAGTGTCCGGCGGTGGGGAGTTGTGGCAGCCCCTGGCGAAACTGCCCAGGTGCCTAAAGTATGCTACTTAAGTACTTAGTAGGTATAAGTACTCAATACCTAGATCTTCTAAGTTCAATGGCTCGATAGCACGAGCACAAAGCCAGATGGGCCGTCAACTAACAAACGGACGGTAAATCGGGGCAAGATAAGGCCAAGTACCTCAGTAAGTACTAGTATCTTGACATCTTAGGTAATATGGCGCAAGAAGATCCTAGAGTTGAGGACATGATACGTACCAGGCACGCCGTACTCGGATACTCGCGCTGGACCTTGACTTCATCAGCGTGCGCCCACTTGGACCACTTGACCCGTGCCTCTGCACCAAGCCCGAGCCCCAAGGTCTCAAGGCACCGCCGCTCCTCTGCCTCTCCCTCTGCCTCTCCCTGCCTCTTCACCGACCTGGCCAAAAAAATATCCTGCCCACGAGAACTCTCCTTTTCCTATCCACTCCTGCACGCCCACTCTTCAAACCATCCCGCGATCCATCGACCAAGGAGTAAGTCGTCTCTGCCCGCGCCCTCGATTCATCCCGTCGTGCCCGTCATGACCGTTACCTTGTGCACCCGAGCCCAACAGGAATGAATGCCTTGGGCTTTTTCCTCACTGTCGCCGTCGCCGTCGCCTTGCACGGCATCTCCGTCGTCGAGGCTCAAGTCACTCACTCAGCCCGAGTCGGTGCCGCACAGTGTGTGAACCCACCCACTTGACCACTCGTTGAAATGCGGCAGCCTATCCCTGGACATGTGTCCTCTGTCTGCGCACGAGTATATCAAGTCGCACCCCCAAGACTCACTTGTTGACTTGCCGACGAGCCACAAGTCGGTCAATTTCCACCCGGTCCTGCATCGACCTTAATTCTCGTCATTGCATCATTTTCTGCCTCCTTTTGTCCTCCCGCCCGCCGACCTTCAGCCCACTACGAGAAAAAAAAACCCCTCCTGGCTGGCTGGCTTACTTACGCGTGGCAATTAGGACACATAGATATCTCTCGCTCGGTCGCTCGGTCGATCTCTTTTTCTCTTTTTCCTACATCCACAGCCACCACCGCTACACATAATACGACTAGTCGCCCTCATCGCCCCAAGTCGCAATCATGGGTCTCACCTTTTCTAAGCTTTTCGACAAGTTGTGGGGGAAGAAGGAGATGAGAATTCTGATGGTTGGTCTCGATGCCGCCGGTAAAACCACCATTCTGTACAAGCTTAAGCTTGGCGAAATCGTCACCACCATTCCTACCATTGGTAAGATTCCCCCGACCGCTCTTGGGCCCGTCTTGTCAATTTCTCTCCTCCGCTGCTCTTGCCTTCCCGCATCCCGCAAGAGGTCCTCCCCACACTGCCATACTAATTCCCCTCCCCCTTTTCCAGGTTTCAACGTCGAGACTGTCGAGTACAAGAACATCCAGTTTACCGTGTGGGACGTCGGTGGCCAGGACAAGATTCGTCCTCTATGGAGACATTACTTCCAGAACACTCAGGGTATTATCTTCGTCGTCGACAGCAACGATCGTGACCGTGTTGTCGAGGCCCGTGAGGAACTCCAGCGCATGCTCAACGAGGATGAGCTGCGAGACGCCATCCTGCTGGTCTTTGCCAACAAGCAGGATCTTCCTGTAAGCCACCCTTATCCTGCTCTGATGCGTGCTCGCGTCGCATGACAATTCCGCTAACCAACTCGCCTTAGAATGCCATGAATGCTGCCGAGATCACTGACAAACTCGGCCTCCACAGCCTGAGGCAACGCGCCTGGGTACGTCCACAATGCCACCTCGAGCTCGTCATCAGGTCACTAATCTTGGCGTCCAACAGTATATCCAGTCCACTTGTGCCACGTCTGGTGACGGTCTGTACGAGGGTCTTGAGTGGCTCGCCACCACCCTCCGTAAGGCCGGCCACCAGTAGACATCACCTGCGAGAAGCCTTTGATCAACCCCCGCCTTCTCATTCGTACCCCCTCAAATCACGTACTCTCTGCAATACCGGACTTCGTTATAGTGAGGCTTCGGCTGTAATTTGAAAAGCTATCGATCAACCAATCGAATCAAAATTTAGTCTTTTATTCATCCTTCGTCCCTGTCCGACTTTGACCGTTGTCTTTTTTTAGGTGTTGTCGTGAGGCACATATTCATGTTGGGCCTTCCAAATGCGGTTCTTTGAAAGGGCCTCTGCTACAATGGCCATGGGTGTTTGGTAGAATACATCTTGCATGAACCATGAGGACAAGAGCAAACAGCCGGGCTTACGGAGTCATGCTGTTAGCTGGATCAAGGTTCTTGGCAGCATACACGATGAATATTGAGGGCTTTGGATGTACTCGGTGGATAGGGGGAAATCGGCATGGAGGAAGGGCATTTGTGCAAGGCAGAGACCGTGGTTTACGCTGTTATGTTTTAGTCCTGGTTTGACTTACTCTTTGTCTCTCGTCATCTTGTCTCTTCATTGCGCTAGATTAGCGGCGTTAGGTTCGTTGCACAGGCCTCCCGGCTGGGAAAGGATTCGTAGCGGAGTGACAGAAGGATGAATTGGGGGATGAACGGAGAAAGGGAGGTTTTTCTAAAAAAATTGGTTCTCGATGTTATTTTAAACTTGTGGCTCATTTTTTTCCTATGGGAATCGGTCTGTCTTCTGTGGCTCTTGTGTGCTTTGACTCTCCGCTTCCTGGCATGGGTTCCTGTTCGGCGGGATGGTTGGAAAGGTATGGCAGACAGAGGATGAGTGAGAACAGAGCGAATGGGGCAGATACATTGGAGAATGGAAAGTCTTTCATGTTCAAAGCATAGTGCTCATAATTTCTAGGGAAGTGCTTCAATTCATGAATTAGATCTATTGTAGGTGTGTGGGTGTGTGTGCTTGGTATGAAACACGCGGGAGTCAAACAACTGAGAGGAGTAAATATAAATACAGGTAGCACGGGCTATAGACAACTCTCCAAATCAGCTATTCTAAAATACAAAATCCGAGACTCCATGCTCCCAGTGAAATAGACGTACATTACGTTACAATACATTTCATTATACCGCAATCTCGAAAGTATTAACCACTTCCAAACCCATACCATCCTGCTTAATCTTCACCTCGGCAGCTTGCCCCATCTTCAACTGCCCACGGATAATCTTATCAGCCAGCCCGTTGCCAATCTCGTTTGTGATGAGCCTATTCAAAGGTCTCGCACCAAACTTGGGTTCGTAACCGCGTTCGGCGAGCCAGTCCTTGACTGTATCCGGGACAGTGAGCTTGATTCGCTTGTCATCCAGACGCTGCTGCAGCTCCTTGAGACGAATGTCGACAATATCCCTTATGGCGGACTGCGCAAGGCGTTTGAAGATGATGAAGGAGTCGATGCGGTTGAGGAATTCGGGTGGGTATGCCTGAGCCACGACGTCCATAACGGCTTTACGAACGGACGGGTCCATTTCCCCGTCGGGACTCTCCTTGTACGGGTGGAGTTGGTTCTGCCCGACGAGGATATCGGCCCCAAGATTGGACGTCAGCACAATGATCGTGTTTTTGAAATCAACCTTGTGGCCCTGCGCGTCGGTAAGATACCCCTCGTCGAGGACCTGGAGTAGCAGCGCGGATATGTCGCGGTGCGCCTTTTCAAACTCGTCAAATAGTAGTACGGCGTAGGGCTTGCGACGCACAGCCTCGGTCAGCTGGCCGGCGTCTTCGTAGCCTACGTAGCCAGAGGGCGCGCCGATGAGACGCGATATGGTGTGTTTTTCTTGAAACTCGGACATGTCGAAGCGGACGACTGCGGATTCCGTGGAGAACAGGAAGCCGGCGAGCTTTTTGCACAGTTCTGTCTTGCCGACACCCGTGGGGCCGAGGAAGAAGAAGGATGCGAGAGGCTTGTTCTCGCCGCTGAGGCCAGCGCGTTGGAGGCGGACTGCGTCGGAGACGGCCTTGATGGCGTCGTCTTGGCCCTTGACGGCTTCGCGCAGCGTGTCTTCCATGTGTACTAGCTTCTCGATGTGGCCGGAAGTGAGCTTTGATACGGGGATGCCGGTGATCCGGGAGACGACGTTGGCGATGTCGTCTGATGTGACAGAGTCGTGGATCAGAGCATCCTCGGACTGCGATTGCTGGCTCTCCTCGTCCGAGGGGAGTTTCTGTTCGAGAGTTGGTATGACGCCAAATCGGAGCTCGGAGGCGCGAGCAAAGTTGCCCTCACGCTGCGCTTGTTCCAGATCAAACCTAGCCTTGTCGAGATCTTCCTGGATCACTTTGACGGATTCGATCTCGCTGCGTTCCTTTTCCCAACGAGCGTTGAGTTGGGCTATTTCATCTTGGTACTCTTTTAGATCTTTTTCCAGCTTCTCTCTGCGTTCCTGGCTCGCAACATCCTTTTCTTTGCGTAAACTTTCGAGCTCAATCTGAATGGTCATGATCTTGTGGTCAAGTCGCATGATGTCTTCGGGTTTCGATTCATGCTGCAGTTTCAAGTGACTGGCTGCTTCGTCCATCAAATCAATTGCTTTGTCCGGCAGAAAACGATCCGTGACGTATCGATTGGATAAGGTTGCTGCCGCGACTAGAGCCCCATCAGTGATACGGACGCCGTGGTGTACTTCATATTTGTCCTTGATACCACGGAGGATGCTGATGGTATCCTCAACCGAGGGTTCGCTGACAATGATGGGCTGAAACCTGCGAGCCAGAGCTACATCCTTTTCAATCTGTCGATATTCGTTGAGCGTTGTGGCGCCGCAGCACTGTAGCTCGCCTCGAGCCAAGGCAGGCTTCAACAAGTTGGAGGCGTCGATTGAGCCTTCGGCCTTACCTAGGCCAAGCAAAGTGTGTAGCTCATCAATGAAAAGAATAACTTGTCCTTCTGCTTTTTGAACTTCGTCAAGGACCTTTTTCAATCGCTCTTCAAAGTCGCCTCTGAATTTGGCACCGGCTATCAGGGAGCCCAGATCCAAAGTGATGACTCGCTTGTTCTTTATACTTTCTGGCACGTCGCCCCGAATGATCCGAAGCGCAAGGCCTTCCAGAATAGCAGTCTTCCCTGTCCCGGCATTTCCAATCAAGACAGGATTGTTCTTGGTTCGTCTGGACAATATTTGAATCGTTCGTTGGATCTCAGCATCTCGTCCAATGACCGGATCAAGTTTGCCGTCTTTGGCCCGAGCCGTGAGATCGATGCCAAACTGTTCCAGTGCCGGTTTTTCCTCTTCACCCCCCATATTCATACGATGTGTTCCTCCCGGGGGGTGAGGCCGTCCGTTTGCGTAGCATCGTGTAGCGGTTGTTGGGAGAAACCGTAGGGGTGTTGCGCAAGCTCTACGGGTTGCCGCCAGTCGCAAGACTGGTCTTGAAGATCGAGCCGTGGCACCAACTACTCGCTGGGCCGAAGCTATTAATTGGCGTCTGGCTTGCATAGTAAATGCAAGTATAATATTACTGCCGTCCTAGTACAATCCCAGTGAACATTCGTGCATTGGATGAATGTGTAGGTGTGACATACATTCGACCTAGAGCTCAGACTTGGAAAATATACCTGGAAACCTTGGGCCCCAGAAGCTCCCTCCCCCAGTTCTGAGATCTTCAAGGCGGCACCACCAGCTTCTCGTAAGTTCTGGCTCTGAACTGCTAATAACTGGGGCGCCCGGGACGACCTGCAACGGTGCCGTCACCGCCTATCTTATCATCACGTGCTTCCAGCCCCATGTCCACAAGTTGAGCGGGAAAAGTTGGGCAAGGCGGGCTGCCGTAAGCGGTTAGCGCCTGAGGGTTCACATTTTGCCTCCCACAAATTCGCTAGCGGCGTTCACAAAGAATTCCAACATTTTGGGCGAGCATCACCAAACGTGTCTTCCTTTCCTCTCCACAGCCCAACAAGACACAACCCGAGAGTCACCATGTCGGCGAAGCCCACGACCAAGAAGTTCGGGAAGTCGACCCGGGAGGTTCCCGCTCCCTCGGCCAAGGCCCAGAAGTGGTATCCTGCCGATGATGAGAACGAGGCCAAGCAGGTGAGTTTCATGGTGATGATGTTGATATCGGTGATGTGATGCGACAAGACAAATTTCATGGTGGCCTCTGTCCGGGCGAAGCACAAATTATGGAACGATGGACAAGCGCGCGATGGCGACAACGGCAACCCGAGCATATGACAATGGCAACATATTGTTGATGACCAACAAACAACCACCTTCGTGTTTATAATCGGGATGACTCCATGAGCAAAGCAATGAGATGACTTCGAGAACGTCCAAGTGCAATACCCCATTGCAGGGAAGGCAACTATCGATATTGTACAATTGGACAACCACCCAGTGCAGAGGGCCACCATGAGAGTTATATGCGCACACGTAACTCGATATCGTAATACAAGATGGCTAACCAAGCATATCAAAATCTCCAGGTCCGCAAGGCAATCCGTTCTTGGGCTCCCCGCAAGTCCCTCCAGCCCGGTACCGTCCTGATTCTCCTCGCCGGTCGTTTCCGTGGCAAGCGCGTCATCCTTCTGAAGGCCCTCGACCAGGGTGTCCTTCTTGTTACTGGCCCCTTCAAGATCAACGGTGTTCCTCTGCGACGAGTCAACTCCCGATACGTCATCGCCACCTCCCAGAAGGTCGATGTCTCTGGCCTTGACGCCAAGAAGGTTGAGGAGATTGCTCAGCCCAAGTACTTTACTGCGGAGAAGGCCAAGGACAAGGCTAGTGAGGAGGCTTTCTTCAAGCAGGGAGAGAAGGCTCAGGTATGTTGTTTTCGAAAACCCTCACATTCGAATATTGTCCACGAGAGACAGTATTCGGTGTGGAGGTGACAGTTGGAGCAACGACACGGGAAACTAATGGATCCCTTGCAGAAGAAGCAGATCAACAGCAGCCGTGCTGCCGACCAGAAGGCCGTCGACAAGCCCCTGATTGGCAACATCAAGAAGGTCGACATGCTCGCCAGCTACCTCGCCAGCTCCTTCAGCTTGCGAAAGGGTGACAAGCCCCACGAGATGGCCTGGTAAACCCGGCAACAACTAATTTTGTCTTTTTGAAAACCAAAAAAGGATGAGAATTTGTTGCTGAGTTTACGAGTTGCACAATCGAACGAGGGGTTTGGAAGTTGGGGCGTGTGTGGTGGAAGAGCTGGCGCGGTGTGGTACCGAAGGAACGGGTCGTTTTTAACGGCGCGGCAACGGGTTGTAGAAACGGGAAACGGGTTCTCCGAACACATAGGGCTGGTTTGGCCAATTGCATTTGGAAGTTGACAGGCATCGGTCACACCTTGGCGTCTGTAATCAGGTTTTACAGTCAAAAAAACAAACGAGCATAAATGAAGAGTTCTACCAGGGCAGTCTGGTGAGCCGTGATGATGATCCATAACACTAAATCCAAGGAATCCATGAACCTCAGTCCCCGCTGGCAATGATGTGGAATTGACGAGTGATATGATCCATACAACTGATCCGGATGTACACGAATATGCAAACTGTCGCAATGGAAGAAACCCTGATGACAGGTCTCGACTTTTGCAATTAACATGTTTTATTTATTTTTTTTCATTCCAATTTGACATTCTAATTTACAATGTAGTTTTCATGATTCAACCTGCCTCGACTCCCCCTGCTATCTGGCGTCAATTACAAATCCCTGTCAACCCAACTCTGGATAATACCAACAAGACTAGGATCGTAGTGCTTGATGGAAACCTTGCCAGAAGACTCATCCAAGGTTGTATTGGCCTGAACAAACACCTTGCGAGGTTGCTTGTTATCAAGAACAACATTGCGGATCTTGGTGCCCCAGAATTCCAGGTCGACCTTGGTCATCTCATTATAGAACTTGGTACCGGCCTCGACATCGGCGGTAGACTTGTAAACGTGAAGCTTTTGCAGGTAATCAGCAACGGCTTTGCGGCCCGCTGTGAGAATCTTGGATCGATCCAGCCGGATGGTCAGATCAGACAGGTCGTCCTTGGTATAATTCAGCTTGCAGAAATCATCGCCAGCATCGAGGAAGCACTTCAGGATAGAGAAACGAGCTTGACTGTGAGCCTGACCCCATTTCTGGCTCTTTGGGTCCCACAGTTCCGTAGCTGCAAGACCAGCTCGGGCCATGGAAAGATACGACGCATACAAGACATCACCAGCTTCACCGTCCATATCCAGGCTGCCATCCCCGAAACCAAATATTTTCAGAACAGGGAACTCGCAGCTAAGGTGCATGGCAACCAGCTCGGCTCGACATTCTTCATATGAGGCGGCTACGCTGCCAAAAACGGAGCCCCAGGTCTGACCAGGCTTATACCAAGTCGTGATTGGCTTTTGGGTAACTGGGCTGATAGGGGGGTTCTCCTTGTCAAAGTTGAATACTCCAGGTGCTGTTTCCTGGAGGAGTTTACCACAGCCGTGGCCTTAAAGGGCAGATTAGTCAAATTGAAGCTTTTCTTCGTGGGTATAGTTCTTTGAATAACTTACCGGTCAATTCGTGGAGACCGACCTGGACCTCAAAGGAAGCGTCACGATACTTTTGATAGACCTCCAAGTCCTCATCACGGATAAAAGGGATCTTCTCATTTGGCGCCTTGGCACTCAAGACGTTACCCAATGAGACATTCTTGAAACCTTCAGTCTGTCGAATATCGTCATAATTGGGGATATTAATGCCAGCAGGAATACCAGACCCAGCAAAGGTCATGACCTCCAATGACGTAAAGTCGGGAGATAGGAATTTGTCCTTTTCAAAGTCCTTGTTCCAAGGGAGGAGAGGGATGAGAGTGGGAGCAGCAGCGACAAGTTCTCCAAAGGCACGGGTGCGCTCTAGGTTGACCATGGATGCAAAGCCCTCCCACTCACCACGTACTCCGGCAGGGTCGCGGTAAGTCTCAACAAAGCCAATATTGCACTCCACCATGGGACCCTTGTCCTTGATCCAGTTTCTCTGGGCATCTTTGTAGGCTTCAAGGGATCCGCTTTCAAAGGACTTGTTGTAGTTAATGTGCATCCGTTTCTCAGTATCGTTATCGGCATTGTCTGCTGCCTGTTTGATGTAGGCAGCAATGTTCTTCATCTCCTTGGCATAGTCGCCGTAGATGAGTCTGATGGTCTTGCCCTTCAAAGCACCATCGTCAACCGTGAACTGGGTGTCTTTACCAATATCTCCACCTTCAGCAGGAACGCTAGTGACCACGGAGGCAATGAGGATATCGAATGAGCCGTCGGCATTCTTACGCAGTCTGTTGTTCTCGGGCAGCAACCCCTTCTTCTCCATCCACGCGGAAACGCTCTCGATCTCATCCTTGGTAATGGTGGGAGAATCTGGATAATATGTAGTCATGTGGCCTGCATCGATGAACCCGAGATGAAGCAAGCCGGACTTGTCATGGCTGAAGATGCCACCATTGGTCGCCTCATAAAACTTGGCCGCCTCGGGAGAAGTAGCAGCAAGGGCAGCAACAGTTTTATCGCTGCATCGGGGAAGGAACTTGGAATCGCCAAAGCTTTTATAATTTCCATTGTTGCCGAGAAACATAGCAGCATACTCCAAGAAGCTGGTAAGTTCGGCGTCGTCAACACCAGCCTTCTTGGCCAGAGCATCCCAATTGCCATTGCAACTCTTATGCAAGGTCAGGATGAGATCATATATGGGCTCAGACTCTGGAGAGATTTGCCGAAGGACAATTCTGGTTCCAGCAAAGCAGGCTCTATGTAGGGTCATGGGAGTCAGAGCGAGTTGGCGCGGTTGAGAGCAACGTCGTTGGGGATTCACACATACTTGCTAATAAAATGAGCATAGCGCTTCTGCTTATCATTCAAGGCCTCAAAATGTTGCTCGATCTCCAGTCTGACCACTGACGGAGGCTGGTCGGCGAGGAAATGCTTGAGGTCCGCGGAAGCCATGGCGGAGAAGGGCGATGACGACAATCCCGAGCAACGAGGAGCCACGCAACGGAGAGGAGGTCGTAGACAAGATACGGAGGCTCTTAAACCGACTGGTCTCGCAGATGACAGCCTTCGAAGGACCAAGGACAATGTGAGGGACATGAAGAAGTCGGAGACGACAGACGTACGTAGCGCGACACCAGTTGACCTTATAGAGAACAGGTACGTACAGTAGCTTCCCTCCCGAGGTCAAAAGTTCCTCTTCTCGACAGAGGCGGTTGTTTGCTGGCTCGCAATTGGGCTACGCAGTACAGGTTGAGGACAGCGTCGGCCTGCTATTGGCGATTGGTGGTGCAAAATTGCTGAATTGGCTCAAGTGCTTTCTTGCTGCGCCAAAAGTGCCTGGGTGGCTCCTTCTCGTGGCACATCACGACCGGGCTACGGCCCTCTGATAGGCTCCCACCAGCTAAACAGCCACTAAAGGCGGGGGAGGCGCAGGCAACATTGGAGTCTCGCCCTTCGTCCTTGACTCCTTTCACAGCCAGCAGGCAGGGCGCAGGAGAGAGAAGATCATGGAAGCGTGAAATATCTGTTTCTGACATAATTCGGAAGTAATGAAAAGAGGCAAGTCATATCATTGTTTTATTCTCAAGGAGAGTGCTCTGGGCTGTCTGCGTGTAGTACGGAGTGTTTGAATTGCTACACGGCCCCGCTACCGTTAGTGGCCAAATATCAGGCAAGAAAGAATTGCATTCACTCCTGCCTCATCCTCCAACGTACATGGACGGCTCTCACACCCCGCCGCGGGGTTGGACTAGAACCGTCGACAATGGCATGAACATGGCTGTACCGGCTAACTTTTTATAAATTCCTGAAAAAAAGTCGCCTTAGGCATTTGGCGGCAACTTGTTTCTTCCCTACAACGATGGCATCCCAAATCAGAAGACCATTATCCAAATATCAGCTTTACGCAATCAATCTTTTGACGTGCCGCTATTAGGCACACCGGGGTTCATTGAACGGATTATGTAAGTACGTTCTACCTGCATGCAAGTGCCAGGGCCGCAGGTTTTTTTCCTACTTTCATAAACATTGGTACCAAGGTCCATCATGTTGAATCAGTTTGACGACGAGGTCACATTATCATCAAATTGTTTGTTTGACAGAACCCATGCGGGACATGTATATGGTTTGTTTGCCATACCGCCTGGCTGACCAAACACAATAGGAATCACTCGGTACCGCAGCTTTGGTCCTGAATAACAACTTTAGAACGCAATGACGAGCGCTTGAGGATTGTCAACAACAGGCATCCAAACAATCCTATCCAAACTCTTGGGCCAGGCATGGGACAATCAACGCAACGACAGACTATGCCTCTCGGACACTCGCTACCACAAAGGCAGTGTTTAGGATCCAGGTTGCACATCATTGCTTGTGCTTGTGTACTTTCCACAAAAAAACACTGTCGACGTTCCACCTCCTTTTCCTTAGATAAGCGAAAGCATGGCGCAGTTTCAGCAACTACATTGCAACCATGACTATTTCAGTCGTTATCAAACCGACACAAGCTAGGCAGCGGCTCTTCCCGCTCTCTGTCTTCAACCTCGAGTTCGCGGGCACGAACTACGCACATATGGGTAGGTACATATACCCGCAAGCTCACGTCAGTACAATTCGTCATGCGCTGCTACTGCAGTGTACTACCGTTCTAGCATGTTCGGAGTAGTGCCACTCTTCCGTTCATGACCCCAGCATCAACCCCCACGCACATGAGTTCCCGCGGTCAATGTTGAAATGTTGGGGTTCTAAGACTTCCCCCCACGGCCCCACGGCAATGTGTCGGCGTTTGCAGGGTACAATCGGTTACCGATGGCAAATGTCAAAATCGCGCAGAGACCGCCCATGACTCCTGTATCCCAAAGTTGGTATTGAGATTCTTCTCATTATACCAGGCATGGTTATTCTTCGTGCCGCTACTGTTGTCAACAGAAACAACCCGAGACCACAAAGAGCCAGCCAGTTCGATTGTTCTATGGCAGCGTCATGTGGATTGGGCAGAGTTGTAGACGTGGTCCGCCTATTGTCCGCCCATCATGAGGCGTCCGGTCAATAGCCGATGCACGAACTTGTCCCAGAGTTGCCAAACTCAGTACTCGCCGGCGGGGGTGTGAAGCCTGCGAGATCGATTGCGCCACGTTTCTTTTGGAGACACACCACACCATTTCTCTTGCTGCTTGTCATGCAAGACGCCGTCACTAGCAACTTGACAGCACCTTGTTCAGATTACAAGGCAATAGATTGCGAGAAGGATGTTAAGGCCAATCTCTCGCTGGTGTCCCGCAAGCAGCAGAATGCAAGTTTCAGGGTTCAAGGGTCGTCAGCAATACTATTTTGCTCGTGCATCACAACACCTACCATGGCCAACGACCCTGACAAAAGGTGCTGGCTGGGGTTCTGGGCAAGAAACTGAGGTCAGCTGCCACGTACCGGAAGCGCTTCCGGTGTTGCGGGTCCCAATTCCCCATCAAGGGCCGGTGCTACGTGCTGTACGTGTGTACATACGGAGTACGTAATCTTGATATGGTAGCTTGGAACGCTTCCCCGGCACCCCGGATATGACAGATGGTTGGTTATTGATGGCATGCGCTAAACACTCAGATACAGGGAAAGCCTAAATAAAGAGTTCAAGGCGGCAGACGGGTTCGCTTCGAGACGAGACTGCATGTTGGACATCAGACACGGCGGCGGCGGACGCGGTGGGATCCCTGGATGGTGGAACCACTGCTCCGCTCCAGCATTTTGCAGCAAATGGTAATTGCACGAATCGTGCCGAGTAGTGCCGCTTGCTCAATTACATATACATACATCATCATAATACATACGGAGTTGTAAATATGTACGCAGTTGAATCCCGGTCAGCCGGTGTGCTGCGTGTGCTGCTCCGGTACTTGCGAGCGGCGGCAGGATGCAGCGTTAAGGCTGAGAGGCAACAAGAATCACAATTCAATGACAACGCTGGCTGCAGATTTAGGAATTGATGCAGCTTGGTCAGCAATCATACCCACACTGATCCCTGGCCTTGCTCAATACTAGTCTATGTCGGTCAACGGCATGTCGGGCCATGAGGGCAGAGCGCATCGATGCCAAACCTCAGCCGGTACTACTCCGTGCAACTAGTAGTAGTACTACTGCCTCAAGACGGCACACCGATTCTTCAATCCATGTCAATGATGAAGAAAAAAGCAAGACCCGACGCACTGGCTGGCCCCTGTCTGATGCACCGGAGATGGATAAGCCCATGTACGTACAATGTCGTGTTCAACGGTCAACACTAGCCATGTAGCCACTGGAGTTGAGCGAATGCCTGCACATTGCTATCAAGAACCAGCAAAATGCTCGCCCAGACAACAAAGGATTCAAAGACTTCCGCAGTTGATGCCCACTGGGGCGCCGTCTCCGGAATCAAGAAACTAGTCTTCTAAAAAAAATTGTGACACGCCCCTCCCCACTCCCCTCCCTTTGGACGCCATGCACTCCATATTCCGTCATGGTCTGGTTTCTGTTGAGCATGGTACAAAGTCTATTAAAAATTCTAGCGCAGAATTGACGGAGGACCCGCGTTGTATGTACTCTCGCCTAGTAGCCTTGTCACATCGAGCACAATTTTCTTGTCCATGTCCGGGACTGGAGGCTAAGATCGTGACCTGGCGCCACGGCCTCTCCTCCACCCCTTGTCTCCCCTTGTTCTCTCCATGAGTCCAGGGTTGTTTGCTCTAATAAGCAGCGTGGCCCGGGACCGTGGGAAATCATCAAGCCTGCTTGCCCCTCGGATTTAACCAGTCTCTAGGCTGCTTCGAGTTTCAGTTCCCTTTTTTTCCTTCAATCTCTTCCATCATCATCTCCACCACGACTTCCCATTCGACCTTGGTTGATACCGCCATTTCCCTCTTAGGCATTCTCGATTGCTTCAATCGCTCCTGCATCTTTCCGAGCATCTGCTTAGTCGGCATTTCCGCCTTCAGCGTGATACTACTCATATACTCGATTCATATATCACAGACCCGGGGTTGTGTTGACCGCCAGCGTCCCGAGGGAACTCGCTCTCCCACAACTTCAAACGTCCTACATCCTCAGTATCCTACACACCACCACTCCCTTGGACCGTTTCGACCTTTGAGCAACACCTACGTCACCGTTACACCTGTGAATCGATCATTTCATCTGTGTAATCGTACGTCATTATATTTTACAGCATGTTGTCCTACGATAGTGCGATGCCCAATGGACAAGATCAGGCGGCGGCTGCTCCATTGCCTTCGGCCTCTGTCAAACCTGTTGCGGCAACCGCTGCTGGCGCCGTGGGGGCTAATAGCCAGACACAACCTCACCAGCAGCACCACCTCTGGTTGGTTACTGGCCCTGCAGGATGCGGCAAGACGACGGTAGCCGAGCATTTGGCCAATGCGCTTGATATTCCTTACATCGAGGGTGACCTGGTAAGTCATTGTCGTGGTGTGGTTGCACACTCGGAAGAGCGCAGGCGCAAGAGTCCCTGACTGACGCCGTATACAGTATCACCCCCAGTCCAACATAGACAAGATGAGCTCCGGTATCCCTCTTACCGACGCCGACAGATGGGATTGGCTTACCGAATTGCGGAATCAAGCTAACAGCCGGATCCACGATGGGGCGGAAGGAGTGGTTGTTGCTTGTTCCGCTCTCAAACTCAAATACAGAGATGTCATCCGCGTGGCTGCATACTGGGACCGTTCACTGATAATCCACTTCATCTTCCTTCATGCGCCTGCGGAGCTGCTCTTGAAGCGTGTCACTGCGCGCAAGGGCCATTACATGGGTGCCAGCATGGTCAAAAGCCAGTTTGACATCTTGGAACGCCCTAGGGAGGATGAGATTGACGTCATCACAGTTGATGCCAGTCGTGATGTCGACGAAGTGAAAGAGGACGCCCTGGAGAAGGTGAAGGCAATGTTGGCTGCTGAAGAGTGATGGAGCCTCTCGATCCCCTCTCTTTTCTTGTTCTCGGGGATTCAATCCGATACGCTCCGGCGGTTTCTCTTGCCTCCTTCCTTGTCATCGCACCAGATTTGACGTGGGCTTCTCTAACCTGAGCCACGTGTCGTTTCGAAATCATTGAGGGGGTTGGACACCCTGTTTTTTCTTTGGCTCGTTGCAGCGTTTGATTTACATGATCTTTTTTTTTTGGATAAGGTTTTTACTTGGATTTCGGGGCGTTTTTACAGGCCATGAGGCTTCCTCCTTCCAAATATCCCCGCTGAGCGATAGTCGTACAGCTTTTCGTTCAGGCAAAGAAGGTTAACACAATAGAGATATATATATATATTGGGATAAGAACCACAGTCTGCAAAGACCACCAGCTCGAAGCCGTCATTGTCTATCGACTTGGCTCGACTGGTTATGATATGGGATATACAGTCGGTGTTTCGGGGGAAAGAGGCCAAGGGCCTAGACTGAGCAGCAAGACGGCTGATGGTGAGATGGGGTATGGCGTGGCAGCAAGGCGTCTGGGAAGATGAAGGACGGAAGCCGGAAGATGAAGGCGAACCATGAGTTGCAAGGCGTGATATGCAGATGAGAGAGAGGGTGTTGATCGTCGGGAGCGAATCAAGAAACAGTTCAACGCAGATCCTTGCATGCTTTGTTCGGCCGAAGTGCGTACATAGTTTGACTGAGACACGGACAGCAATGACACAGAGGGTCCGTGTTTTCGTTGACCAAGGCGTCGAGGGCATGCAAAACTGCTCATGCGCATGTGCTCCAAATATGCAGGTTTGAACAGCGGTCTGGTGCCTTGATTCCCCATTAGCGCATTAGGCCGTGACGAAGATTGCCCAATGCAGCTTACCTCCTACGCGATGCGGCAATTGATGTCATGGGCTGGGTATCGATTCGTCCACTTGGTGCAGATGCGATGCTGGTGGGCCACGGGGCGCATGACAAGTTGTACATTTGACGTGCGACGTGGTGCCTCAGCCGCTTTCAGTATGCGAGGTGCTGGAGAAACACCAGCACGCGGGTCATCACGTTTGTGTGGGGAAGAAAGAATGCTTACATCATGTGCCATGTGGGTGATGGGGATGTGAGAAGTGATCAGGGCGTGATTCTAAGATTCGGTGTTGTGCCGGTTAAAAGAGGCGTCAGGATGTCGGTGAGGTCCGTGCTGCGCGGGCTTGTAATGGGATTCAGTGCTTGTGAGTTGGGAGCTGGGGAAAGTCCGGGTGGGGCCTGCACGGAATCATACTCAACAGGCCAACTGGTGGTCTGGTTTGATTTTGACGGCACCAGGTTGTACTTGGCGTATTTCCATCTTAATATGGAGGCCATGGACTCTATTGCTTGGGTGAGTTTGTGGCTGGGGAGGAGTCCGGGTGATATCGCGCAGGCAAAAACGAGCAAGAACGGGGGAGGTGTGCCTGCGGCTCTTGGCGCGCCTGCCTGCCTCAGATGCCTCAGATTCCTCTTACTGTAATTGTAATTTGCTCTTTCGATGCGAGTTACTCCATACACATTATGTTAGACCCGATATCTGGGCTTCCATCGTCTCGCCAGCTCGTGCTCATAATTTTTCCCCTTTACGCAGGTCCGGTCATATCCGGTCAGCATCCTGGGATTCTTACCAAGTCCCTGTTTGTACACGTACCCCGAGTCAACCCTGTCATTTTGCAACCTTGCCATGACGCATTTCCGGAAATTTCTACTGGGCTACGCTTCAAGACGAATATCTACATGTACAAAAACTATTTGAGTCCCTCCAATGGTTTTAGTCAAGACCAAGGCCGGATTTTTTGGGCAGTTAGTTAACCTTGGTGAGCACACTATTACTATCATCAGCCGCCTCTATGTTGCAAAAGCCCTAGTCTCTTTGACTCATCAGGAATCGATTCGGACTCTTCGCGACAACAAGGACTGATAGTGGCTCAAGCTCGGCCCAAGGCAGACCTTCTAGTGAAATGGGAATTCTGAAATAAGTGCCCGAGCTCCTCAATTACTAATGAATTATGCTGTCTGAGTACACTTGTGGCCTATTGGCCTGTCAGGATCCTGCAGCTGCTATGGAGTACTTGAATGTATATGTATCTGGCTGTCCGGAGACTGGTCAAATCAGAACAGCAAGTCAACTGGTATATATTTGGCCCCCGCGCGGTTTGCTCACTTAGTCTCTCGTGTCCATTATTTCACCTGACTGACCTGTTTTTCCATTACTATCAATCACCATCTCAAAATGCTATCACCTCCGTGACTCTCTTCTGAGCCCTGACTAGAAGACTTCCCCGAGGAAATCTCGTTAGACAGCGCCTCTAGATATCGAGAGAGAGTACGTGAAACCGCCATTCAGGGCAACTAGATGAACTCCGGGGAGCAGCATTCTTCAATCGAGCCTGGATCGTCGGCAATCAGTACGGTGAAATTGGAGATGAGATGCACTCCCTCGAAGGTTACCTGCATTCTTCTTGGCATATGTACTGCCAGCTTAGCTGCTATACGTCATATGAAACGTCACCACCATCGTCTGGTCCCCGATATGCTCCGCATCCAAGGAATTGGGCCCCCAACCAGGCCTGCACCGGGGTTATACGGCATCAATATCTCGCCAACAGTCGAAAGCACGCTGTGGAATGACCTGCCCCTCCTGGTCACTGACATGACTGACCTCTGCATTGATAACTGCGCGCCCATGTCGGGTTCCCACCACCTTAGCTTTGCGTCCTTCTTGGCCAAGCTGGTGTAGACCCGCATTAGCAAGGGCAAAATATGTCAGGTCAACCCTCCTCTTATTCCGCCTCACATTTGAGGATGCGTGAGACTTTCGCACTATGGAGGTACTGGATAATGAAGATACAGGACGAGGTAAAAGAGGCTAACGCGGAACGCCTAAAGGAGTATGCCGCTGATGCTATTGACTCCATGGTCTCAAACGTGGAGGAACGGAACTCTAAAATTCTCAGGGTTTACCAAACCGGTGGGGATGCCTTGCGTTAAGAGAAACATTTGTTGTGCCTTAAGAATCTTTTAAAGAGCAGAAAGCCAGTGAACGACGGTGTCAATTAACACAAACACACACAGACCATTGAATGCCGAAGCATCGTAGAGAATATCTAGTTACAGGCCACGGCTCTGGAGACGCTGTCGAATGAGCACGGGGCGCCATTCTTGGTGCTCTGGAAAAAAAGCAAGGCGAGATTACCATGGTTGGAGAGTAAATGGCTAGCTACTTGGGCATCGACTCAATGATACCTTGTTGTTAGCGAACGAAGGGCACTTGACGAAGGTGTTCTTGCCATTTCGGTTTTTGTATTTGCATTCGTCCTTACAGTTGGTACAATTCTGCGAGGAGATATCAGGTGGTCATTGGTGATTCCCAAACGGACACCAAGTGCGTGTGATGCTCATGTTTACACACTCCAGGGTATGTAACTCAGGTCCATCATCACGATAGGGGTGGCTATAGCGCAGGGTTGCAGCAAAGCGGAAAAGGACAAGACATTACATTTACAGGCAATAAATTATAGGAATTTGTAGGATATCTGTGAGTTGATGAGCATTCACAAGTGACGCCCCGTCGCTTTCCTGGGTGGACAGTGAATGACAAGAAGTTGTCAAGCATCAATTGATGTGTTATAATTGCCATTTTGGACCTAGTGCCCATGAAAGTGGATCATCGACTCGTCTTGTCGCAGTATGTAGTTGCTTGACAAAGTCCTTTGGTGACGTTATAATTAACCGACATCTTACTACATTGGAAACAAACACGGGCATCAACGTGTATTTGTAATTAAACCATCTATGCACGTTTGACGGGTTGACGGTTGGGGCCGGATCGAGCATTTTGAAAATTATTGCAGTCGTATTCTAGTTATTCTTTCTACCTCAGGTGCATAACCATGATATCCGGCTCTTCTACCACCGTCCTCACAACCTCGGCAGCTCTCGCCATAGTGGCCCCGTCCACGACCCTGTGGTCGGCACTCCAGCTGAAGTTGCAAACGTGCTTCTTCACGACGTTGTCATTCCCGTCAAACGCGGGCACGGTCCTCATGCGGCCAATGCCCAGGATAGACAGCTCCTTCTCCACAATCACGGGGCTCAGGTACGTGCCGCCGATGTTGCCAATGTTGGACACGGTGATGGTGCCTCCGGACATGTCGGCCGGCGTCAGCTTGCCCTGGTGAGCGAGCTTCTGGAGCCGCACGAGCTCGGCGGCAATGGAGATGATGTTGCGCGAGCCGACGTCCTTGATGACGGGGACGAGGAGGCCCTGCGGCGTGTCCATGGCCACGCCGATGTTGTGCTGGGAGCGCATGATGAGCGCCGGCTTGCCGTTGGCGCCGGGCGAGTCGACTTCCACGCGGGCGTTGAGGATGGGGAACTGGTAGAGGGCCATGGAGACGGCCTTGATGATGAAGGGAAGGTAGGAGAGTTTGTCGGGCTGGCCGTCCTGCACCGTTGACGAGGCGAGCACCTTGTTGAGGCGGGCGCGGAGGGCGACGAGGCTGGTGAAGTCGATCTCGTCAGCGTAGAGGAAGTGTGGGATGTTGAGGGACCGCGTCATGCTCTTGAACATCATTTGTTGTGTTTGGCTGAGCGGTGTTCTGGTTTCTGTCTGAACTCCGGGAGTGTGGGCTGGGACGGGAGCAGAAGGGCTTTGCGTGCCGCTGTCACCTTCCTCTCTGGCCTTGACAAACCTGTAGATGTCCTCCTTGAGGACCCTGCCATCCTTGCCGGTGCCATCGATTTCGATAATGTCAATGTTGAGCTCCTTGGAGAGGTGTCGCACCGCGGGTGTCGCCAGCGCGGCCATCTTCCCCTTGGGCTTTGGTGCGGCAGGGGCATCATCGCCGGATCGTTGTGACGGTGCCATGGGAGAAGCAGCACCAGCGCCGCCTTGTCCTGAGGGAGGCTCTGATGGCGAGGGCGTTGATGGTGTTGATGGAGCTGAAGCCAGTGGTTGCTGCGCCTGGCTCGGCGCCGGGGCCTCGGGCTCTGCATCTCCCTCAATGTCAATGTCGACAAAGGGCTTGCCGACCTTGGCCATCTCGCCAGCGTCGTAGTACAGCTTCTTGACGGTGCCGGTGAAACGGCTTGTGATTTCCACCGACGCCTTGTCGCTTTGCACCTCGCACAGAGGCGAGAACTCCTCAACGCGAGCGCCGGGCTCGACGAACCATTGGATGACTTCGCACTCGACGATGCCTAGTTGCAGTAGCAATGTTAGCCATGACGCTTTTCGTGACCACACGTTGGACGTCGTGTCCGCTGCGCCGCCGCTCATCAACCAACAAACACTCACCCTCGCCAATGTCAGCCAGCAACACCGGCTTCACAGCATATAGCCTCCTTGATTCCGTGAACCACCGCGGCATCGTAGGGCCCCCCGCCAAAGTGCCTCTTCCCGTGGCCAACTTGCCCATGGCCTTGGAGGTCTGCAGCTGCCTCCGCAGCACTCGCGAGCCGCGCTGTAGAAACATTGTTGGTCTGACGAGCAATTGGACCTGCGGCGGCAACAGAATTGACGTCAAATCCGACGGTTCCGAGGGCTTCGATTACGAAACTACGGGCAGAGGTAGGAGAGTGGCAAAAGCGAAAATGAAAGGCGAGGGCAGCAGCTACAGGACGGTTTTGTCTAGAGTCGTCATTGCAATAGGCCGAGTATAACATGGCTTCAGTCGGCATTGGGCGGGTGGGTGATTGAGCCGCCGCGAATAGCCGAGTCTGGGGGAGCAAGCGACTCTGAGATTCGATAGAGATTTGGCGGGACCGGGGGGGGCTGAAAGGTCGGTCGGCCATCGGTGGTCGTGGCTTTTCACTTGCAGCTCCCACTACCCACGCCGTCAAGTGGCCCCAGGAACCAATACACGGCCCAGGCGACGGAATAGGAGTAGGATTCCCTTCATGGTCAGCAGAGTCAAAACATGCTGGTCTCGCTGGCCAGCCCGGGTGGCACGCCCCAGATTTGGTGTCTTGGCTGACTAAGCGCCAAGGGCCAGGTGTGAACCCAGTGTCAACACAGTGTGGCTAGGGAGCAGTTTACACACGCGGGCCCATTGAAGCCTCAAGCCGTTGGATCTGGGTCAAATACTCCGTACAGAGCACGGCGACTTCAGTCCGCGCCGCGCCGAAACGCTTCCCAGTGCTGTGACATGTCGTCACCCAGGTTGGGACTGGCGGTCGCCAGCTTCGCCTCCCGACAATCGCTCTCCTCACCCCTAGCGACATGCGTCTATTGCCAATGGCGTCGCGGCTTTACGGCGTCTGCGCTGCAGGCGCGAACAGAACCTCCCGCGTCCGGAACGTCCATGGACCCCAAAAGCCATATTCCAGGAACTCCCATCGAAGCGCCGAGAAGCTACGGCAAGCGAGTGGACGAGAACTTCACTCCAAAGCCTCTCCCTCGACCGATCGGCATGCCGCTGCCTCCACGGCCCGGCGAGAACACGGGCATCGACACTCGGTCCTTGAAACAACGAAAGGAGGACTTTGGAGACTATGAGAAACACATTGCGAGGCGGAAGGAACTGTACACTGCAACCCCCTCTACGCTAACATCCTCTGCCGTCGCCGAAAAATACTGACACGATTTTTCCAGAACGGCCAAGATATCGAGGCCGTACTTTCGCGACTGGGGCAATCTCCAATTCCACAAAGGCAAATCCTTTATTGCGCCACCCCGACTGTTCAAGGCCGAACTGTCTCTCTTCTTTCCCAACCTATACGGAGAAACGCTCGTCAAGACCGACAAGACACCCCGCGACACCACCCCCCTGCTGACGGGGAAGGCATCCGTCGTTTCCATCTACAGCAGCCAGTGGGCGGAGCAGCAGGCCGCTACGTTTGTGTCCAAGGAGTCAAACCCGGCTCTGCACGACGTCCTCGACAAGAATGGCGATTTGGCACAAATGATCAACATCAACTACGAAGACAACAAGGGCAAAGCCTGGCTGGTCAAGCTGTTCCGTGGCTCTCTGAGGAAGAGATTTGCAGAGAAGGATTGGGACAAGTACTTCCTTGTCCAGCGAGGCATCACGGATGACATTAGAGAGTCGATTGGCCTGCTGAACAGCAAAGTCGGCTACACCTACCTTGTCGACCACCACTGTCGCATTCGCTGGGCGGGAAGCGGCCTTAGCCATCCCGAGGAGAATGCAAGTCTGGCAAAAGGTCTCGCTCGATTGGTCGAGGAAATCAAGAGGGATGCAGCTCGACCCGCCGCAGCCAGGGAACCACTGCCCGGAAAACCTCATATTGAAAAACAGAGCGCATAGCCGTGGGTTGAAGCCTTGTAACGTTTTCAGGAAACTGTCCCCATCAAAGGACATTATGTGTTGTAACAAACTATGACATTGGGTGTCCTCAAGCCCCCTTTGTACTGTACACTAGAAGAATAGATAAACCAACCGCTGATACCCCATATCCATAAAAAACGCCGGCCCAACATGCGGATGATGACGAAATGACTGTGTCCCAAACCTTCTCTCCTTTCGCAGCGTGTGCTTGTTTCTTTACTTCTCTTCTCTCTCCTTGTAGCTATGAGAACCAAAAGAAGATTAGAAAGCAGAATGCAATAAAGCTCCCCATAATGATGCCATCTCTTCTCTTCCTCGCCGATATCCTGGTGATGAGCCCGTTGATACCAGGCACTTTGCTTGCAGCCATGGTGATTCGCCGATTAATATTGGCCAGCGACTCGCGCTGCAGCAGAAAGTTTTCCCGCACGGCGTACGCCTGGCTCAGCACACTATCTGCCACGTTGTGGCTGTTGTCGATGCGGCTTCGCTCCTCGAGCATGTACTCTGCCTCCGCAGTCTCGGGGTTATTGGCGCGAAAGTTGTCAATGTCAGACTGGACATTGGTGAGGAGGTTGGCTCGGTCACGGGCTTGCTGGAGGGTGCCACGCAAGCGGTTGAGGTCGCGTCTGTGGGAGGAGAGCTTATCGCGGAGCAGCGAGAGGTTGTTCTGCTTGACGCCAGAGTTGGTGAGTGTCGTTTCGGAGTCGAAAAGCCGCGCTAGCTGGGAGATTGTTGAGTCGCGCTAGGCCCGAGGATGTTAGATGATTTAACAAAGCTGGATGCATGACGGTTGGGGCAACCAGAAAAAAAAACGAACCTTCTCGAGTAATTCCTCAATCTTGGCTTCCGTGTTGCGCTCCTCTTCTGATGGTTTGGGTGGGATATTGACAGCCGACGAGAACTGCGAGTACGTATGGAACAAGTTCTCTGTCTGTGGTGGGTTAGCAATGAGGGTCTCCATCTGTCATGGGAGAATGCGTGGTTTCGAGCGGTGCAAGGGAACTGCGCCCGGCCTCCAACATACCTGGGTCTCTAATGATCTCGCCTGCTGCCGTAGCTGTGCCCAGCCCGCGCTCGATGCTGATGCGGCCATGTTGAATCTGTTTTTGGTTGGCGACGATGTGTCGTCGTCAGGATGCAGGCGGACACGGATTCCGGGAAGCACGAGAAACAAGACCAAGCCGGGTGAGTGGACTTACCGTCGTCACAAGTCCCGAAAGCAGGCTACGGAGTACGCAGACCGACCGGACCCGCCAGGGGAAAGACCGGCAGAATCTATCACTTCACCGCCCGCTGACATCGACTTGCAGGGCACGAGACACTCCACGTGATGTTCTGTTAATCCATGTCAACCCACACAACGCAGCCAATGAAAATTCTACATTTGCCCGAGCCAGCGCACACATCCGCAAACCCTAGGGCAATTTTTCACCGTCTCGGCAAACTTCGACTAAATTCTCAGAGGGCATACGATCCATCGCGACAAGGACGGTCACGGTCGAGGCTGACTTCTACTTACGCACTCCGTCGACACACTTCGCACATCACCCATCGAAGACCATCAAGATGGTGAGTCAACGCTCCTGTTCCTGCTTGAGACGGCACAATTCCCCACGGCAGCATTTATTTGTGTGGCACGGGCTGCAACGCCAGCATCCTCGAATATCGAAGTCGTGAAATGCCACAAATGGCGGAACCGAATACCCTCATCTCACCACCAACCCCGCAATTGCTCGACAATGTACACATTCGAAATACGCTCTACCTCTAGTCCTCGCCACAAAATGCTGTCTGGGGAAGGACGTTGCCCTCGCCGCGGTGGAATTCGTCAAACAATCAATTTACACAGGGTTCACCCCGAAATGCTGACGCCATGTGTCTCTAGTCGTCGGGCAAGGTTAAGACCGTCCAGCTCTGGGACAAAAGCAAGGATGATTTGATGAAGCAGCTCGGCGAGCTAAAGACTGAGCTCGGCCAGCTGCGCATCCAGAAGGTCGCTTCTTCTGGCAGCAAGCTGAACAAGATGTGAGCAAACACACCCGCCACTCCGCACCTGATTTCTCGCCATCCGAATATCCAGACACAATACATCACGACCCGAAAAAAAGAAAGAGGAGAAGGAAGAAAAAATGGTAGCGGTTGCACGAGATCCCAAATATGCTAATCATGTACAATAGCCACGATCTGCGCAAGTCAATCGCTCGCGTCCTGACCGTCATCAACGCCAAGCAGCGCTCCCAGCTCCGCCTCTTCTACAAGAACAAGAAGTACGCCCCTCTGGACCTCCGAGTCAAGCAGACCCGTGCCATCCGCCGCCGACTATCACCCGAGGACAAGGCCCGCGCCTTGGAGAAGACCAAGAAGCGCAACACTCACTTCCCTCAGCGCAAGTTTGCTATCAAGGTACGCCCTCAAGCTAACGCTACCCGAATGGATAATCAAATCTTATCACATATATACTAATTGTGTGCCCAGGCCTAAGTGCTCGACAATGTACTAGGTGTTTGATGGGGGGAAGAAGAAAGAACTGTTATGGGTAGATCTGGGTATTTTTTCCGAGTTTAGAGGCGTGGCGTCCTTTTTTCTTTATGAGGAGAACGGAACAGCTTCTGAAAAAAAATTTGCATCGCATGGCTCAAACAAGCAAAGGAGAGGATTATGGAACCGTTTCTTCGGTCTGATGTTGTGTAACTTATTTCCTGGTTTGGGACCTCGTTCTGGGACATGAGAAATAACTTCACGGAATGTCGTCCATGATTGGGGTGTTAAGCTAGATCAGCAGCCCTAAAAAGAACAACAAAAAATTCAAAACGAGGTCATGATCATAATCGTTGTCTGAGTCTTCAAGTGCCGTATCGTGATTACGCAACGTCCGTGGAGTTCAAAGAGGATATCTCGAGCCACGTAAATGCGCCCTCACTTTGGCAATGCTACCGGCATAAAACGTACGTACGCGCAGCACCGATAACGTTCTCGTCACCAACGTACACTATGTCTGGGTATCTAAGGCATCTATTCATGCAATACCGTACGCCTCCTAATCTCTTTCTTGCACAAAATAATAAAATATAGCCCAATAACAGAAACAATCCAGACAAAACCCGCCAATCATCTCCAAGCTGCAACAACCAATCATTCATATGTGCCATATGTACATCTTCATGACATGCCTTCCGCTTCCGTAAATTGAAAAACCCTAGTTTAACCCCATGTATATCTCCGCGTATATTTTCCCAATTCAGGATCTCCAAAATGCCGTCTATCATCGCCAATATGCAACGTACGAGTCCACTCAGCAATACACAAGCCATGAATGAATTATCATGGTTGAATGGCGACTGCATGGATGGACTCTTCGATCATGTCCATGGAATCATCTTCGTCGTCCAAATCCAGTAATAGTTCAGACTTGGCCCTGCCATCCCTACCCTTGACTTTAGCCTTCTTCAGCTTTGAAACTTTGTTCGCCCTGATCTTGCTTTTAGCTTCGCTCAAAAGAGCATCGACCTCAGCGGGCCTGTCTTTATGGTTTGTGCCCATATGACGACGTAACTGATCAAGCCTGTGGAAATCTTTGCCACAGAGCTGGCACTCATGCATACCCTTAACATTGTGGGTTCGCCGGTGCTTGGATAGATTCGACGACTCGCTAAACCGCTTGCCACAAATCTCACACTCTAAAGGTTTATCACCAGTATGCGTCCGCTCATGCATTGCTGTCGATCATGTCAGCATTCGGCTTGGTCAAGTATTAAAGCAAAGGGGAGAAATAAAAAGGGGGGGCCTACTAAGAGCACTTTGTTGCTTAAAGGCGCAGCCACAGCCGGGATACTTGCACACCCATGGTGTCTCCCCGGTGTGAATCCTCATGTGTTGGTCAAGAGCCTGCTTTGCTGACAGAGCAGCTCCGCAAATGGTACATTGAACGGGTTTGTCTGGTTCAGTTCAGTAAAAGTGCCACGCCCTAAAACTACATACAGGACGTGCGGGATATCACTTACACCCGGTATGGACCTGCATGTGACGCTCAACTTTACTCCGCTGAGTAAAGCAAGTGTTCCGTGTGCAGTTAGCCCAACCACATCTGAAGCCACCATTAAGCTTCTTCAGCTGCTTCAAGTGGTCATGCTTGCAGTGTTTCTGTAACTGTTCGTCATTCTCGAAGCGTTGTCCACAAATGGAGCCACCCTGTCCCACCAGCCATCGACACAGAAACTGATCTTCCTGTACCATGACCTGAGGCTTCGTTTCAGTCGAAGGACTCAAAGGATTGGCAGTAGACGTGACGTCTGGGAGAGAGTGTTCAGAGTCAAGAGGAGACGGCGTCGGCAACGACGCTGGAGTTGCGGATAATGAAGGTCCCATAGACAAGTTTGTCAGTGGCGACATTGACGGAGAGAAATGTTTTGAGGTAGGAGCCGCGTGATAGTTGAAATAAGGGCCATGACCACCCTGGTGTTGATGAGAAGTTGGGCTGGTCAAGTGCCCATGAGAGTGAGACGAGCCAGGGAACGCAAACTGATTTCCCTGTATGAACGTCGACCCATGCTCTTGGAAGATATGGTTGGCGAATTCATTAGGGCCCTGGACTTGAAAACCACATTCGTGAGACTGTAGTTGAGGCAGAAATGGATCCGAGTTGGGCATGTCATTGGGGTTGAATTTTGGCAAAGTACATCTAGTGATTAACTGACTGGGGTCGTTGGCCACGCAGGATCCATGATTAGCGAGCCCATGCGACGGGTCGTGATACTGCATGATATGGTTTGCCAGAGCATACTCCAAAGGCGTTTGAAATTGCTGGCTAGAGAAACTCATGTGGCCGTTTACGTTTGCAAATATAGCGTCCATGGAAAGACTGCCACATGGCAAGCTATGTGGCAGATTTGCAAAGTTTATGAACCCGTCTCTCGATGTTGAGTTGTGTTGTGGCTGCTGGGCGAGGCCATTATGAACGGCATGTGGGTTATTACCACCAAACGATGCAAGCGCGGCTGCCGCCGCCTTGTCGCCATCGGTTATGGCAGATGAAGGTTGTGATTGTTGTTGGTTTATAGATGGGTCTCCGACGCAATTTTCATCCGTACAAGGCTGACTTGCTCCTTCACATTGCTCGTCGACACAAAGATTTGGGCTTCCACAGGCATCGTCATCGCAACAAACAGCGTGGCCGGTTTCGCCACATTGGCTAGGACAACTGCCTTCGCAGGCTGAGCTGCAAGACATGGACACGCAGTCATCATCTTTGCAGACACCGAGACCACCAGTTCCCTGAAGGTTGCACACGTTTAGAGCATTTTCGTTGAAGATGTTGTCCCACGAATAATCTTGCATGTGATCCAGGTTAGACGGGATGTCCACCTGGCTCTTTGCTCTGCCGTGTTTGGTGCGGTTGGATCTGGGCCGATTCCGGGCAAGAGTCGAAGATGAAGTCGCCAGTGGTGTTTGTGCAAGGCTTCCTGGTGACTTGCTCTGGACTTTGCTAGGTTGTGTAAAGTGTAGGCAGGAGTCGTCGTGGATACATGGTTCATATGGCCCAAACCCAGAGTTCAGTGCGTGCTCGGTGGACAGGAGCGTGTCGAAATCGAGGTGAATATTCGCCATTTCGTCATTGGACGAGTTATTTGCTGAGCCCATGAGGCCATCGAGGGCCATGTGCGAGCCGTCCATCATTATAATCCGATGTAGCTTAACATAAGCAGCCAGAGAGGTAGAGAGTCGAGGAGGCAGAAACGCAGGAGGCGAGAATGGACAAGGCGAGGCCCGACAGACCCTGAACCGGTTCTGCGGCAGAGAATAGGAGCAACTCGGACAAGTAGATACCGCCGTTCCCAGAATATACGGAAGAGGAGGGAGGGGCAGAAGTCTTCAACGATAGAAAGAGTTGTAGGGACGGAGGAGAGGCCAGGGGGTTCGTCTTGGGATTGGAAGTCGCAGAGTTGGGGCCAAACGAAACAATGCCAAGCATATATTTACCGTTAATCCAGAAAGGGATGAGTGACTGGTGCGGAAGAAGGCTGAACCTCGCTCATAAGGCTTATCTTTGAGCAGAAGAAGGGTGAGACAGCAGGGTCTGGGTGCTGAGTGGTGAAGAAAATGAGGCGGCTGAAGGCGAGCAGCAGCAACTCAAGAGTAAAGAGAGGGCAGCAGAAGCTTAGACACTATGGCTGCGAGACCGCTACAGACTCGAGGCATCCAGAAACGAGAAAAGCTGGCTGGTTGCAGGAAATGGCCGATGCGCTGGAGGCTGGGATGCTTCGGTGCTCAGATATCGGAGCGAAGGCGATTCTGAGAGAGGAAGAAAAGAAGAGCGAAGCGTCTACGAGGTCGCATGGTTTCTTACTGGACAAGAATTGCGCATTTGCGCCTCTGTGCCTGCACTCATGTGGGCTGGACGGGCAGGATGGGCTTGCTCAATGTGGTTGTTGCCCGTATCCTGGTGAGCAGCTGAGAACCCGGATGGTCCTGACCTGGAGGAGCGCTCTTTCCCTTGCACGCGCGAGAAAAAAAAAGAGGGCCCGAGGGGGCCATTGGCTGCGTGCGCAAAATGCTCATTGTCATACGTAGTCCGCACTGCCGGCAGGTGGAGCTCACGAGCTCTTGCCTTATCCAATCTAGGCGTCGCCCACATTTGTGACCAAACTACGGAGCGTCAGACGGCGGTTTGATAACAAAAAAGACCAAGCGGCGGAGAACCCACTATATCAACACGATGCCAACACTACACTATTCGATTTACATGTCTTATTGTGCCGGAAATGAGATTTAAAAGTTACTGCAGTGCTGCTGTGATGCCCTTCCATGACATACAACCGAGCTGAGTGTGATGTTGGAGCAAGGTTGCGCCAATCCATCCGTCTCGAGTATAGTTTAAGAACCAAGAGTCCAAGATACTCAAGTGGACATAGGAAACTATTGCTCAGCCCATTGGCAACCTGGCCATACAAATTCGGTTTGAAAATACACACATAAAACACAATTATCTTGCCAAGACATCAATAGATGAAGAAAGCCCGCGCGAGTTAGCAAGCTATCAGCTTTCCGCCCTCCGGAGACGGAGGTTCCGGGTAGAACGCCGGCAACGGGCACGGCCCCATAAAATACGGCCATGCCCAAATGGCGGTTACCGCCAAGTCGGTTCAGCTCTCACGAGGAAGCCGCTAAGGGGACTCAACGCAACTTGGCCCATGAAAGCCGTTGCCCCTTTCGCCACCGTTACCACGGCGAAGTTGAAAGCGCATTTTGTAATGCTACACACACCCGGCCCCGCCGTGTAAAAGCTACTCCGTACACCAAAGATACCAAGACAATCCACCCAAGTCAAGCACAAGGAAGAGGCCAAGCTCGAGTGGGGCAGCCAACCTCACCACAGACACACGAGAGAGGGGAATCCCTCACCACCGACCCGCACAGCCACACAAACCCCAACAACAAGAGCTCTCGCAGCCTCTCCGACACCTCAGCTTCGAAACCCAGCCATCCAACCTCCCCCCCGGAAGCACCCTCGCCATGGGCAACATCTGCGGCAAAGAAGAGCCAGACACCTCGCCGCCCGGCCGCGTCCTCGGCTCCGCGCCCGCAGCACAGCGAAAGTCGACGGTCCCCAGAAAAGTCGGCGGCCCCCCGCGAACACTCGGCACCGGCACCGGCACCGGCATCGGCCCCGGCGAAGCGACCACTTCCCCCGGCGACGCGGGCGACGCGAGAAGGAAGGCCGCCGAAGCAGCAGAGGTGCGCACTCGCACATACATACATATACCCACCTGCCTCGCTGTCCTCCAGTGAGACTAACAAAAGACGGCAGGCCAGAGCAAAAGCATCCAGCAAACCAGGCGGCAAGCTGCAGAGCCAACTATCCGCGCAGAAGCGCCAGTCGCGAGCAGATACCCTCAAGCAAGCCAGCGCGGAGGAGCAGCGGCGGCGGGAGATTGCAAATAACGAGGCCACAACGTATAATTAGGACGCGTGCGCTCTTCTCCATGTCACCCCGTGCTGGAGTCGTGTCAAACTCGTCGAGGGTGTGATGCGTAGGGATATATGAGTGGAGAAGAAGTGTTTCAGACTTACGAGGCATGTATGCCGTGTACATATAACTTTGGTGGTTTTCGTCGAGTACTGGGCGTTTTTCTCCTTGACTGAGAGAGCACTCTTTAGCACATCACTAGCGATTTTGATCTGAATTTATCTTTTCTTCTTCTTTTCTTCTCTTTGAGCTGTAATTCACGCTGAACTTTATTTCTACCCTACTCGAGTGGACTTGTGATATTAACATATGTATTCCCCCAAACAAACTCCTAGCTCCGGTCAACCTTGCGTACATATTCCCCCAACAGACCATGGCATCTCCCGCCACCGTCCTCATCCCATAAAAGAATTTTTTTTCCCTCTTTTTTTAAAAAATTAAATTAAAAAATCAACTGACTGTGTAACGACCACTTGCTGGCGCCCTGCTATCTGCATCTGCTGCCGCAATGGTTCCTTCTCTAAGCAATCTCGTCATTTCTTGAAGCGCCGACCCGACAGCTAGTTCCGTATCACCTTCAATAAGAATATACAGCTTCGGGTCCGCGTTGGCAGGAACCTCCTTGCCGAGAGGGTAGAAACTGCCCTTGGTCGTGATGGATGTTCCAGTGGAATCCAGAATCTTGGCCACATTGGTTCTGTTCGTGACGGCCCATCTGGCCTTTTGCGGAAAGTCGTTGATTTCCAGAGTCGCATGGAATGCGCCAGCGTCGGGACCTTTATTGTCGATGGGCTGACCCGATCGGAGCTGCCCTGCCTTGCCGAGGCGGCTGTTGATGGCGCTGACTGCAGAGCTGACCTTGTCAAGGGCATCTTTGGCCTTGTCCGCGCCGGCGGTGGCGCTATTATCGCCACCTTTTTGACCATCTGCGGCTGGCTTGGATGTGTCCCGGGCTTGTACACCCGATGCAGCTGCTCGGATGGCATCCAGAGCCTTCTCGGCCTTCTTGTTCTCCTCTTCCTTGTCTTCCTTTTCTTCCTCTTCTTCGCCCTCGGCCTTGTGTGTCCTGCGCTCTCTGAGACGAGCAGCTTCTCGTTCCTGGTCAAGACGATCGAGACCCTTGCCACCAAAGCCAGATGAGTCCTTGGCCTTGCCAGACTTGACCTTTTCACGATGTGCCTTCCTCATCTCGTTGAGGCGCTCGGGCACAGGCTGCTCACTCTGCTCAAGGGCCTTGGCGATACCCGGCGCGCAATTCTCCTGATCTGGCGTGACAAAAGTAACCGCAACACCGGTGTTGCCGGCACGACCTGTTCGGCCGGCACGGTGAACATAGTCCTCGAGATGGTTCGGTGCATCGTAGTTGATGACAAGTTTCAACTGCTTCACATCGAGACCTCGAGCGGCGACGGATGTAGCAACAAGCAAAGGCACAACGCCCTTTTTGAAATCGGAAATCGTTGAGTCGCGGTCCACTTGATCCTTGCCACCATGAATCGACATGCAAGGATAACCCTTGACCATGAGCTCCTTGAGCAAGTCGTCGGCCTTTTCCTGCCGGTCCACAAAAATCAATGCGCGGGCATCCTCGTCGCGATCGTATAGCTCGCCCAGGAGCTCCAGAACGCGGAGAAATTTGCTATTCTCCTCACGGACCTCCACAATTTGCTCAATCTCCTTGGCCACGACACTGCGGCCACCGACAGTAATTTCAACAGGGCTCTTTAGGACCTTCTTGGTCAGCGAGTCGATAATTCGAGGCATTGTCGCGGAAAAGAGAATCGTTTGCTTGTCAGGACGCATGCCGGCAAAGATCTTCATGACCTGAGGCTCGAACCCCATATCAAACATTCGATCTGCTTCATCCAACACGACGTAAGTCACCCTCCGTAGGTTCGTCACTCGGCCCTGGTTCGCAGCAAGCAAATCAATCATTCGGCCGGGGGTGCACACAATGATCTCAGCACCACGCTTTAATTCGGCAATCTGATCTCGGATTGGCGCACCTCCATACGCACAGACGGCACGCAGCCCCATGCTTTTCAGGAACGGCTTGCAATCCCTGTGGATTTGTGTAGCCAACTCACGGGTTGGCGTCATAATCAAGCCAACGGGACCATCAGTGTCCTTGATGGGCGGCTGGTCCATGATGTGGCGGAACATGGGGAGCAGGAATGCCACGGTTTTGCCAGAACCAGTCTTGGCCACGCCTACGACATCGCGACCAGACATGAGCGTAGGGATGGCCTGCATCTGAATAGTTGTTGGCTTTTCATAGCCCAAATTGTCAATGACATCCAAGGTCTGGCGCGTGAGGCCGCATTGGGCCCATTTCTGGACCGGTTTGGGCACGTCTTTGCCATTGACCTTGATGCCGTCGAGCTCTAGGCGTAAATCCGCCAGCTCGTCCTCAGTAAGGGCGCTCAGCTCGGCCGGCTCAACCCAGAAGTTTTTGCGAACTGGCACCAAGTCAATCTTACTGTAGTCCACCGTGGGAATATCCTTCTTTTTGCGTTTGTTTGCAATAGCAAGGATGTCTGGATCTCCTTTCTGCTCTGAATCAAAGTTGTACTCGTCGTCGCTAAAATAGGCTTCCGGTTCCTGAGCTTTCTTCGCAGCAATGATAGGTTTGACAGGGCTTTTTGTTTCCGTCTGCTTCAGGTCGGCCATGAAGGCATCAAGTGGGTCCACGTCCTCGTCTTCTTCGTCCACATCCATACTCTGCTCCGGGGCGGCTTCCTTTTCTTCTTCTTCCACAACAGCACCATTGGTATCCCGTACGCCGTTTGGCTCTGCATCAACTTGCGCATTGTCTTCTTTGGTATCTTCCTCCATGGGCTCACCTGGCTGGGGTTCAGCTTGATTCTCTGCCTGCTGTCTTCTCTCGTGCGCGGCACGTGCCGCAGCAGCAGCCTCTTCTTCATTCTCAGCAAAATTGTCTCCATCCGAGTCGTCGTCCTCATCCTGATCAGCATAAGGGGTATCATCAGTTTCCATAGGTAGAGCAGGCAGCTTTGTAAGGGTTCGTTTAGTGGTATCCTCTTCGTCGAGATCAAGTTTGCGCTTCGTGGGGAGCTTGTCCGCGTCCGCATGAGACTTCCCGAACCCGAACGCACTCGTCTTTACTCTGTTGGCGGGCAAAGCGGAGGCTTTTCGACCACTGTTAGCAACAAGGCTGAGTCCGTTGCATGTTCTGAAGGACTGGCACTCACCAACAGTCTTCTGTTTGACAGGCGCAGCCAGCTGCTCTTGCTGGACATCAAGTGAGCCCAATACAGACTTGGAAGTATCATGCGTTCTTGATGCAGCAGATTTCTTGGCAATGGTCTTGGGGTCGAACTTGCCAGCATAAGGAACAGCAGGGGATGCGCTGCCGGATTCATTCATCGTCCCCGGTGAGGCGACTGACGAAACACCGGGCGAAGCAGCAGACGATGAAAGTCCCATGGCCTTCATATCCATTTCAGCTAGGAGGCTTCTAGTCTGACTAGGATTCACCTCCTTCTGCTTCTGACTTTCGCTTTCCTTCTTCTTCTTCCATGCCTCCAATTTCGCAAGTCGCTCAGCCTTCTTATCGGCGTCGGACTGAGGAGTGACCACTTTGTTCTTTGCCTGATCGGGTCCGGGTTTGGCGCTATCAGCCAGGGGCGTCTTTCGACTTCGACTGTCGGGGCGGCTGCCGCGGGTATAAGTGTCTGCAGTGCCTTCACGGCGGCCGCGGCCTCCATCACGGGAATCAGGTTGCCTCCTGTGATCTCTGTCATCGTCACGACTGCGGTTTCGTCTGCGTGCAGGGGAGCGAGGCCTGTCATTGAACCGGTCACGCGACCTGCGTCTATCTCTATCGCGGTGGTCTCGAGTTCCTCCGCGGTAGTAGTCGTCGTCGCGTCGATCTACAGACCGTTCTCTGCGGCGGTATGAGTCGCGATCGCGGGCACGGTCACGGTCGCGGCCACCACGGTCACGGTATCGATTCTGCTTGTTGATAATGAGGTCAGAATACAGGCCAGGAGGTCTCTGGAGATCAAGTATTCTCACATCAGGACTGCGCGACCTCGAGCGCCGGCGGTAGTCACTCCCGTCGTCTCGACGGTCTCTATCCCGCCGATCGTCATCTTTTCGGTGGCGACGTGAGCTGTATTGACTGCCTGCAGGACTTGGTGAGCGCGAGTCTCTTGGCCGAGCCATGGCGGCCTCGCAAGCTCAGGAAGAATCTAGGTTGGTGAGTAGTACTTTTTTTGGTCTTAATCTGGTTCCTTGAGGGGGAGTTCCCAAGGCCAGCCCTGGCGCAAAGCTCCACACAACTTTGGCCACAGCGGCCTGAAGAAACGGAAGCCCTGTCCTTTTTTAATTTGGCGCGTAGCTGATGAAAAGAGTGGTGCAGCTAGCGGGTATCAAATTCGCAAAAGCAGATGGCAGCTCGCGGCCAGGGGACGATGACAGATGATGGACGGGAGGTCGTCGAGACTTTTTTGTCTCGTGCGAATGACGGACGGCAAGTGGTGATGCGTCTGAGTGGCGGGTTCCTGGCACCGCGGTTTTACCGTGCCAATAATGGTCAATGGTGGCTGCCACTGACTGGCCCGCGCTAAACCAACCTGGCACGTCCAAGACTCAACTGGGCTCTCATCCATCTATCTCATTCAGCTACTTAAAACTCAAGCTTGTTGAGCAACCTCTCACTTATTTCATCGCTCCTTGGCCCAATTCGCTCCTCTTTTCCCTTGGCAATATGGCAGGGCTAGTGGGATACGCCAGCAGCGATGAGGACGACGACACCTCCCCGCATGCTCCGTCCCCCAAGGTATATTTCATGTCCTACCTTGTTCAGCCTCAGAATCTAATACACAATCAGATATCATCTCCTCCTGAGGGCGCGGAAACAAAAAAGACAATAAGTGAGAATTTAAAAGAAGGTATTTATTCCTCGATTCATTAATTGAATAGTATTAACGCTAGGATATCCAAGAACCTGCCTCAAGTCAACAACAACCATCTCCCTCACTAAATCTCTTGGAACACCCATCTCAACCATCTTCAACTCAACCAGAACCATTACAATCGTCCGCAACTCAGCCACAACCACGAAACAACAGCCCCGTGACCTTCGACTCACCCCTACCACCACCGGAATCCAACCCCCCCGACCTTCCCGAATCTCCAGAAACATCCGCGCCCTCATCCCCGTACACCACAACCCGCAGCCTCATCCACGATCTCACCCTTCCTTCAGTGCCTAACCTCGACATCCCACCCTCTCCGCCGGGCTCGCCGCCTTCACAAACAAGCTCCAAATTCCAGCAATTTCTCACCCTCAAACGCCAAGGCACTCACTTCAACAGCAAGCTCGAGCAGTCCGCAGCGCTGCGCAACCCTTCTCTCACCGACAAACTCCTCTCCTTTGTAGACCTATCCGGGCCCGCGCAGTATGAAACCACCCTGCCGTTGGAGTTGTACGATCCCAGCGGGTTTCCGGAGTGGTCGTACAGGGACAAGCTGCGGAGGGCGAGGGAAGCCGTTGTGAAGGAGAGGGAGGAGAAGGCCGGGGGGAGGAGTTCAATAGAATTTGTAAGCGGTTCTGTACATTCGCCCGGTACCGGAGGGGGCATCTCAAGAGAAAAGCGGAAGGGTGGGTGGAAATGATGAGAAAGGGTTCATCAATGACGACGCTATGGTGCTTCCATGGGGATACACATCGAGCATGTGGTGAAGTGACGAAGAAACAGCACAGGGGCAGCATGAGTCAGCGGCAGGGGAACATGGGCATTTAGAACAATCGTGCATAACAAGAAAAAAAAAACAAGTGAAAAGGAATACCCAATATGGTATTCAAGATTATATTCAGTTTGGCCGTCGTTGGCCGGCTAGTTGTAACAACCGCATCGAGGTATCATCAATCAGAATGCGCCTCCTGTCTCAATCCAAAACAAAATCCTCCGACCCATTGACCACCTCCTTCATGCCCGTTTTTGTCTTTTCCCGCTGTCGCATTTCGACTAGCGAAGCAAACACGTTCAGCCATTGATAACACGCTGTCGAATTCGTACATATATGTCCCAGTGACAAACCCAGCACGCAAACAAAAGTCCCCCGAGGCAACCACCCAAAAGACCCAAGACAACCAACGTGGGGAATAAAACATGCAGTCGGTTCACTCCGTCTTTCTCATTAACATGGAAATTTCCCAATTAAATTAAAGAAAAAAAAAGCATTATAGAAACCCTTGCCGACCGTCTCTCAGGAGCTGCAAGTAGCCTTGAAGTCTGGAAGACCAGCGGCCTGGAAGGTTTCGGCGAGGCTGAGCTCAACAGTCTGGTTGGCGCTGCCGAGAGCATCCATGAGCCAGGGAATCTCGTTGCCACCTTGCTGGACGTGAGTGCCCTGAAGGTCGATGGTGATTTTGCCAGTCTCGCAGTAGGGCTTCTTCGTGGCGGCGGAGATGATGATCGTCTGGTCGAGAATGGCGGAGACAGGGACGACGTTCTGGCCAGGCTTGAGGACAAGGTTCTGGATAGTCAGGTTTCCGAGAAGCTGGTTGTCGGCATAGTTGTTAAAGGTCGCGTTGCCAATGTCAATGGTATAGTAGGAGGGGTTGCTGATGGTGGCGGTAGCGTTGAAGTTGGGGATGCCGTCCTCAGCGGTACCAATCTTGATCTTCATGTCGGTGAGAGTGGTGCCGTTGAGCTTGTTCAAGCCCTTGAAGGTGACGACCTTGTAGAAGTCGACATCGTACTTCTTGGAGAGACCAGCTGGCTGTACCTTGGTCTTGCCGTGGATAGAAACACGGAGCGTCTCGTTCTGGAAGAAGGCCTTGTTAAACTCAATGAAGGCGTCCCTGTCGGTGATTTGAACTTCTTGGCTGATGTTGACAGTCTGGAACTTGTTGGCGTTGGTGCTGGGGAAGTTGAGCTGGACAAAGGGTCTAGCACCAGGAACATCGCGGAGGGTAAGATTGCCGACAAAGGGGTCAATATCAGCCTTGACGGTGCCGTCGGTAGTGATGGTGGAGTTGATCTGCATGGTGAACTTGTCGGGCTCAGAGTTGAGGATGTTGACGGCCTGGATCCTTAGGTCGGCATCATTGATCTTGTCCTGGGCAATGTTTTTGACGCCAACAAAGATGCTGCGGAAAAAAAAAATAAACAATTAGCTGGTGCTCATTGTATGAAAGGTAAATGAGACGAATGCAAAAAAAAGGACTGTAGAATTGCGAGATGGGTAGTCAGTCGGCCAAGCAGCCTGTGTCCCACATTGCATGTTTCCGTCACACGCAGACCAACTCGCGTTTCCAAGATGACCAAAAGTAGGAGCACATCGCCCAACCTGATAACCTTAAAAAAACAGCAAAGTTCCCGAATCCGCGTCGCACGTAGTATACACCCCTGAACGACAAAACAAGATTGAAGCCAGATATCAATGCGTCGAGAGACATGGTAAGATACTCACACAATACAAATGACGGCAGCAGAAATACAAAGGAAGATAATCAGGTGAAGCCACCAGAATCGCTTGCAGTGGTTCTTGAGGGCGGCCTTCTTGCCACCGCGAACGGGGCCATTCTCGGTCTGGGTGACCTCCTGCTTGTCGGACATTTTCGCCAAATGGTATTTCGGACGCGTCGAAATCAGGGGGCACACTGCTTCGTCTATTGGAGGATGGAGGGGGAGATGAGGATTAAGAAGGAGGAACGAAAATGAAAATGCTCGCGAAAGATGCGGTTTATCAAAATCTCTAGGCAGAGCACGAACCAGCCGACGACGACGACGAATAGGACAGCGCAATGGAAAACCAGGCAGGGGAGAGGGGAATAAAATTTCAATCTAGAAAATGGATATCGAGAGTATTTAAGTCAGATTAGCGCACTTAGGATATGTCTAGGTTCGCCATGAGGTCGGGGATGCGGCTTGAGATTGGGATTGGGGAGTGTGTGCAGGGGCGACCGAGATCAATTGGCCTTGGGGCTACTGGACATCTGGGGGCAACCGTACTCCATACTCTGCGGCACGAATCAGCTGGCTGGGCGCCTAAGTAGCTAGTACAGGCACGGAGGAGCGAGGACTGGCCCGGGGGGGGAGTGGCGAGTGGAGAGAAGCGCCAGAGGAGGAGGGGCGTGGATTCTGGACTTATCGACGCTTTCAATGGGCTTTGAACTCTCTGGACTTGGACTTTTTGGACTCTGCATGACCATCGGCACGCGCCAGACATCTCTCTGCGGTCCAACTCATGCACCTCCACGAAAGTTGGTGTGAACCCCGGACAAAGAACCAAGATGGGCACGACGATGGGCCGCTTGACGCCGTCTGCGCCCTGGGATTGGATACATGGGGGACGAAGACGCGGGCTAAAATGCGATTCGGCACAGACACACTCCCCATGTGGAGGATCTGCCTCAGCAAGGCAATACCTGTGTTGTTTACTCCGTACAACACAGAGAACTGCATGTACACTGCCGCAACTACTCGTTGTAAATATTTTCATGTGCAAGTGGACATGATTGCGCGATAAGCAAAGAGCCAGGCATGACTAGCATGGTCCAACTTTGCCGAATGCGCATCATCTACTTCGTACGGAGTACGGAGGAGAACCTACTAGACTTCAACACGGTTCGTCTTCGCAGCTTCACGATACCGGACCAGGTCTAGCACGCACCTCAGCACATAGTGATGACGGGATCATTGGGTGATGATGCCAGCTATCGCCAAGATGCTCATCTGCAAAACCCTTTATTCTAATCCCTTTCCATATTAATAGACCACGGAGCATAGGCTGTCCGTTGCCGGGTTTACAGGCTTTCCGTCTGTGAAAGCCCATGATAGTGGCCCGAAGCCTTCGAGCCGCCGCCGAAGCAAGGTTCCAAGCTTTCTCGCCCGTACGAATCTGCCAACATGCGCCATGATATCCCGCTTCCCTGCAGCCCAGTGGGGGAGCCGAGCCGGGGGTGTCAACTCCGAAGGACGCACCATACCTGAGCTGGCAATGGGCCGAGCAAGACGCGACAGACTCGACGCCATCCCCAGACTTCCATGGGCCAAGAGCCCCGCCACATCTCTCAGGACGACATCTGCTCTCCCTAGCGAGCGGCGAAGGACGGTCGAGGCATCCAACAGCCTCAGAGACGCCGCCACTTAGTCCCTGATCCGGATATGTCGACCGGTGGAGGCAAACCAGCCAAAAGGCTGAACTGTTGCCTGTGCTGTCGTCCACCCCCATCATCTGCCATGTGCGTTAAGCTTGACGTACTAGACTTAGTAGAGATTGGAGCACCAAGAGGAAGAGGCTTGCATTGACGCCCGCTAGTCTGTCCGTTCCCTCGGCAGGTTTTGAAAACGAAGCACGTGAAGACATTTGACATGTGTCTCCTCCATGTCGTGAAAATAGACTTGGAGGTGCGCGCTGTTGCGATGAAGGGGCATTTCCCTAGCACGGAACAGCGAGAAGCCACGGCGAGGCGCGGTCAGAGAGAAAAAACCACAACCATGTCGGGTTGCGCGCGAACGAGAAGAGGCTCAATAGTATGTGTGTTGTATGACTGCAGCTTTATAATATAATATTATTTCACCCCCCCATGTTGGAGCGCAATTATATCGTCGAGTCAGAATGGCCTGTTCTAGAGCGTGTATTCGGTGAATTTTTTTTTCCCTTGCCCTACCCAGCACCTGGAGAAGTCCAGATGTCGATGGAAGTCGATGGGGAAACCCAAGCTAGAGAGGGGCTCCCCCATAATCCCATCAATTTTATTACCCACCAGACATGCACCAACCTGCTACCGCCAGACACAACCGAAGCGCGGCGCTCACGGGAGCACTCACGCTGTTTAGCGTTTAGCGTTTGGCATGGCCGCGGCCACACCGAAAAGAACAAAAGAAGGCCCCAGATCCTACTAAGAGACTTTCCAAGAAGTATCGACCAGACTTGACACCCCCCGACGCTCAGCTGTCAACCCCAAGGCCGAATGCTGGCGCCCCGACCGAACCGAACAAACACTGGATTGGCTGCGGAAGACTGGGGCTGTCTCGAAAAATCGACTGTCTGGTGAAAGGGAGTATCATCTGGTGGAGCCCGTCGAGCTTTTCTCTACGCCAAGCAACGTGGTGAGCGTCTGGAGACGTTCACGTTGTGTCGTGCCGAAGAGGAAAACTTCGGGAACTTTGAAAGTAGAATTGCGAGGCGTCAACAAAGTTTGCCACCACTGGTTTGGCTATTTAACTACCTAGGCAGGTACGGAGTACGGAGTTCGGGTTGTTTTTGAGAAGCATTAATGGAGTGTCAGTCCACACAGCATCACGCCTTCGGAGACGGCATCATGGCCATGATGGAATTAGCAAAAGCACATGGGTACGGAGTACGGAGTACTCCGTAGAGAGACTTATCAGTGCCGGCACGGTAACTGCTCCGTACATACAAGCGACATGAAAACGACCATGATGCCCAGTTTGCCATGCATGCTCTTCCGGTGTTGGCCATGGCCTCGAAGCTTTGATTAAATTTACGGGGGCATCGCGGCCCTGGGTTCCCTTTGCGGACGGTTGTGGACTCTGCGAGCCACAAAAGCCCAGCAACGGCGGTACACGATGCAACACCGACGAGCGCTCATGGGTATGGATGGTGCTTGAGCACCCGCGCACAGCGCAACAGTTCGGCTAGTTGTGAGGCATCGTGACCCCTGGTGGTGGCGTGGTTTGTGGATCGAAGATTGTCGTCCCGCCTTGGCCTCATATTACTACTAGCAGGCCAGCTATTCCTGTTGCCGGCTTGACTCTGTCTATCAACTTGTCCCTTTGGCCAGGGTTCCAGATGTTGGGAGCGCTTTTCCCTACCCGTTCCCATTCCCCAAACGAAACTTATCCACATGCGAAAATGTCGACAGGCACATGGGCAGGCACAACGATAGGCATCGTCCCGCGAGGCAAGCCACGACACGCCCACTTCGCATACTGGTTTCCCTAGAGACGTTCGTTGTCCCAACATCGTGGCGACTCCATTAAGAAGCTCCGGCTGTTGTTGTTAGCTGAACTCTGGCTGCCAATGACCGACTGCCAGACATACATACATGTTGGCGTGCAGACTTGGCCTTGACTATTGTGACTCCTCGTCAAAGACTTCGGGCTAGCGCGACAAGCTGGACGAAAGCAGATTGATTTGTTCTGGTGTTACCCATCACCTCGAGCCATCCCCACCTGCTGCTACTCTAAAAACCGACCAGGATGCTGGGGCCACCAGTCACAGGTGAATGATTTTTCATCCCATCAGACTACTAGTAGTATCAACACCCTGATCAGTCAAATGCTGCCACATGGTCGACGTCGATAGATATTAGAGTCTCAGGACTGGGCGGATGCCTATTTCCACAGCATACTTACGCAACCCACCCCAGGATCTGGAGGTAACTAACTGAGAGTATGAAGACGCAAAACCTCTCCCGAATTTCCCACAGACGATTGCTTCACCATGGTCCATGGAGCTGTCGGCCCAAAAGGGTCACGGGTGCAGTTCTTTTCGCCACCTCAGGCCGTAACCTCCGGAGCGCAGTTCCTGGATTGTGATGAAATAATCATTGTACTACTACTGCTTCTGCGCCGCAAAGCTGGCGTCATTTCTGTGTAGCACGGTGCCTAGTTCCGTGTGTCTTACTCTCCCACTGCACCTTGCTGTTGCTCATCGCAAAGGGGCGACAGGAATCGCAAATTGGATGGCCGAGCGGGCATGGACAATACGACCTCGTCAAAAGAACGAGCGACTCCATGCCAGGACTCTTTGTCTCTGGAAGCGTCACAAGCCAGCGGCAATTGTTCCATCGCAGGCCGTTTCCGAAATGCGAGTAATTGTCATCACATTGTACTTTCAACACAGAGAACGATGTCCTGCCAACACGAGCTTTTGCATCGCCTAGTTGGAGAAAGTTGGTGTTCGAGTTGGACAACCATCCTGGTCTGGCGTCAGCCCACCGACATGAGCTGCATCGGCTGCAATAACGTGCAGTAACCCGCATTGACAACACCGTGACACAAGCGCCATTGATCCAGGGGTTCAATGCCAGTGTGTGTATGTACAACATTCCCAGGTCTATGGTCAGTCCAACAACTGTCTTTTTATGATTTAGTGTGCATACATTCGTTCTTGGCCCTTTGGAAGCTGTCATGCACCTGGATTCAGACCAAGTGAAGCCAAGAGTACCTTTAACCAGCGCTGACTGTCATCCGAATCTGGTCTCAACGTTCCTTGGCCTATTACGCCGTTGCCAGAATACGAATCACCTGTTTGATTTGGTCGGGTGCCTCCCATCATGGTTCCTTTCGGCCAATGTCTCGGAGAGTGCAACATAGAAGCCTGTCTACCAAGTACCTCGTAAGCAAGGGATCGTTTGGAAGGAATATCGGGGCCTTGGCTGATCGTTGTACAACCCTCCAAATAATTTGGCATCGGCTGCCGCTCCTCGTCAATCCTAATCTCAGAGCGATATACATACATATGTTGGAGAGTGTCGTACTACTACTGATTCTTCTCTGATCGGCGTTTCAGGTGGACACGGTGTGGTGGCGTCAGTTGCGCTTCCAATGCTACAAATCTTGACCGGTATATTATTATGCTATTCATCTCCCGAAACTGCCATCTCCCCGAGTTCCACATCTGCAAGTCGATTGCCAGTCTGCAGGGTCCCGGGTTTCATATATAAAGTTGGTGGCTGTGACGGAGTACAAGACCAAGGCCGCCTTTTGGTGATAGGTTCCACTTTACCATTTTCACGAGCGGCCGAGGTAGTAGTTTCGAGATATCTGAATATTACTGCGCTGAGAGTGAAGGTGATTCACAAGTTCGGATTAAAGCTTTGACTTTGTCCACAAACCCCGCTTGTCCAACCCCGGTTCCCCGTCGTAAATGTCTCTCTCCACACGTCGACTGTTGATCTAAAACGTGGGGTAACAAACCACTTGTTAGAAACTTGTCGCCAAGGGGTCTTTACGGATGTAACTCTGCAGTTGGAACTTGTCCTTTGCGAGCCAGGAAAAGGTAAGAAGAAACACGTACGAATTTGGGTCCTAGCTCCGATATCCTCTTTACCCCGAGCAGTCGCATGCATGTGGCAGTCTCAGCCTCGAGAACTAAGTTTAACAAGTCCTTGTTAGTAGTCATTTACAGACAGAAAGTATAGCATCGGGCAAAACAAGCCAAGAATAGAGTCGTTGGTGGTGAATGTTTCCAAACAGCTGACACATGAAAACGCCCAAGGAGTAAACCGCGGGAACAAACGAACCGGCGCATGAGAGAATCCATGCGAACCAGCACCCGCCCAGGTCTTTGAGGTGTCCGGTAAAAAGGAGAGTTGGTTGGGAGTCAATTTTCGAAAAAGCCACTTACTTTCTAGTGTTCGTTCCACGCCTGCCTGGCCTCCAGCCCCCAAACCGAAAAGAGCAGCGCGTCCAAGACCGACTGCTTTCGCGCCGAGACACAGAGCCTTGACAACGTCAGTCCCTCTCCTGATACCGCCATCCACCCAGACCTCAATCTTGCTGAATATCTCGGGGCAATATTTGCGAATCTCCAGTAGTGTGTGTACAGCAGGGGGAGCAGTATCCATGGCCCTTCCGCCGTGATTGGACAAGATGATGGCCTTCACCTGAGGAGCATGTTGAGCTGCCAAGTAAGCATCCTCATGAGTTTGGATTCCCTTGAGGACAATGGGCAAGTCGGTGTGCTGTGCTAACCAAGGCAGGGTTGTCTTCCAGGTCAAATCACACGCAGTTCCAAAGAACAACTGCTGGCCAACGCCGCCTCCGCCGGGTCGCTGAGCATCACCGCCATTGGTCACCGCCGCTTGGACATTGTTGCCCCTCTCAAAGTTGGACTTTTCATCCAGCTCACGCTTACCCGGCACAGGAGCGTCGAGGGTTAAGCAGACAAATTTGAAGCGGTCCTTCATGGCATTGATTCGCTTCAGCATGGCCACGCTCTTGTCTCGCTGGTTCTGAACGTAAATCTGCCAGCCAAACATTTGTTCTGACGGGGCGCCGTCCACGATTTGTTCTGGAGTCATGGAAGCATTATTCGAGATGACTTGCAAGGCATTGAAGCGAGCAGCGGCTTTGGCGATGCCATGCTCACCATCTGGGTGCGCCAATCGTGCCATTGCCGCTGGTGCAACAAAGAACGGAACCCCGACTTTGTTGCCGAGCAATGTGGTGGACAAGTCACATTCCGTGCAGTCGACCAACATGCGCGGCCGCAGCAAGATGTCGCGATATACTGAGTTGTTGAACGTCTTGGTTATCAAGTCGTCACTCGCCGAAAAGTAGTACGCCCAGGCCTTCTTGGGAATTCTCTTGGTTGCCTCTTCCTCAATCTCGTCCAGATTCAGTAGGGACTCTAGCGGCGGGCGATAATCGTCTGACGGCATCTCGGCTTCTGGTGTAGACTCTGGCTCTGGAAGAGTCTCGGGGTTGATTTGGCCCAACTTGGCCTCTGGCTTGAGGTTCTCCTCGAGAGTGCCAGGCGGATGAACAGGGTCGTAGTCCTCGGTTGCATCTTGACCGGCGAGCTTCAGGATAATCCTAGAACCGCCGGGATGAGAGGTAAGAAAGTCTGTGACGTCGTAGACATTTCCGTACAAGACGACCCAGCAGCTTTCTGGGGTATTGTGCTTTGCGACTATCGTGAATCATTAGGTTTTGGATTTTGACGCGAAGCTCAATTGCCGAGTAGAAGCAGCGTACCTTCAGCGGCGTCAAACAGCTTGGCCATCTCTGGTCGTGAGATCGTATCCAATGCAGCAGTTCTACTAGGTCACAATATACAAGACAACGACAGCCAACCAAAAGAAGAGAACACGAAATGAAAAAAAAAAAATCGACAATGGCTAACAATTCACAGAGCTGTATTTGAATCAAGAGTTGTACAGGGACGAGGTTGAGTTCCGAGACCGTTCGCCGGGTATTGAAGCAACCACAAAAGCCAAGCGGAGTCGGAGATGGGAGCGCCTTGCGCAGGCGGCCAGAAACGCCATGGGGCATTTGCCGCCGAGGCCTGCCAAACGTGGCAATGTCGGAGGAGCAATGGATCCCCCCCGGCCTCCACATCTATGGCGGACAGCCATTGAGATGCGGGCTTGTTAAAGAATCCACGCTGATGGGTGGAAAAAATAAGGAGATGAAGCCCGGTGAATGGCCCTTGTTTACTTCAAAAACCGAGTAGAAAATGCTCGTCCGCCGCCGGCCATCATGTCTCAGCAAGAAATGCCGAGTCATACATGGCGCTCGAACAAATACATAGCTGTGCTTTGTGCCTTGCAACTTAGCACCAAAAGCTGACCACTTGAATTGTCTAGCATCGGGTTGGTTTAGCCGTCCCAAGCCGACGGGTGGATACAACGGACATGGGAAATCCTCGGCCCAATTCCCCGGACGGCTCCCACGTCGGGCTTCCGAGCTCCGTCATCCTCCAGAGAAGACCGTGGATGACTTCATCGCGTTGCAGCCATTTTCTTTCCCTGCCATGTTTTTAAATCTTTAAAATTTTCTTCTTGGATGTTCACATAACTTTATCAGCGCAATAGTGCGACGCACCTCCTTCCGTCTGGTGTCAAAGCATTCAGAAAACACCACATCTTGTCCGATCCAAACCTTCCTTCGAGTGCCCTTTCTTTGCCCAACATGCGCGCCATCTCCGCGACGCAACGCATCTGCGGACGGTGCCGCCTCCACGCCCAAACGACATCACCACCCGTCGCCTCCGTCTCACTAGCCGCAATAAAACCCCGCGCACTCACGACGCGCCCGCGAAACCCAGCAGCCCACCAGACGCGGCGATTTACCCAGCGGCCGTCTCTCGCCGCCTCCTCCTCCTCCTCCTCGTTCTCCTCCTCGGCGGCAGCAGAAGCCAACGCGGCCCCCAAGACGGCGCCGTCACCACCGCAAACCCTCTACTCCTTCTTCCCGCAGACCCTCCCCGACGGACCACCCCCGAACGGCCACTTCCCCATCAACCTGCGCTCCCTCCGCGCCGAGTTCCTGCGCCTCCAGTCCCGGCACCACCCGGACCTGCACCCGGCGTCGTCCAAGCCGCAGGCCGAGGCGACGAGCGCCGCCGTCAACAACGCCTACAAGACGCTGTCGAACCCGCTCCTGCGCGCGCAGTACCTCCTCTCCCTGCAGGGCGTCGACGTCGCCAACGACGAGACGCTCAAGGTGGAGGAGCCGGAGCTGCTCATGGTCGTGCTCGAGGCCCACGAGACCATCGAGGAGGCCCGCAGCCCCGCCGACCTGGACGGGCTGACGGCCGAGAATGAGGAGCGCATACGGCGCTGCGAGGAGGTGCTGGAGGAGGCCTTCCGGGAGCACGATCTCGAGAGGGCCAAGAGGGAGGCTGTCCGGCTGCGGTACTGGGTGAATGTGAGGGGGGCCGTGAGTGACTGGGAGGAGGGGAAGCCTGCCGTTTTGCAGCATTAGGATGATATGATGCTTGGCCATGTACATTATGGGCATATAGACGACAATACGCGTGTGGACACGCTTTGTAAGGAAGAACAATCATCGCCTTTCCCCATCGGTTAGTGCCATGGTCTTGAAGTGTGATTTGAATGTGTTGTTGATCCCGGGGGGGGGGCATCGTGTCGTCCAGGAGTCAGCCATATCTGCACGTAGTGAACCTAGGGAATGCACACATGTGTGGTCAGAAAACACACAATGCACATCTTGGCAACGGCCTCCGAGTCCAGTTATTACAAAAAAGTAAATTAAAACCCAAGGAATTCTTGCCAAAATCCCGATGCAAAACCAGATTCTCAACGCCATTTACATAATATACCACCAAAACTCCCATGCTCGCATCAATCAAATGCGGACTCCTTGATCCATATTGTGCATTGAATCCAATTTTCGTGTGCTCGTACCGATATCTCTATAATCACGAAACATGAAATAGACAAGAACCAACCCCTTATATACAATATAGCGGCCCTCCCTTTTGTTTTTCCCCACCTCATCTGTGATACGCTGGTAGTTGTTCCATATGTGAGTCACCGTCCCGAGATGGACCGGCACCCACGCCGTATCCAGGATATTCATCTGCTTCATCGAGATCAGGGGCTGTGGCTTCGTTGGCAGCATCGGCTGATGAGCTACCTCCCGGCCGCTCCATGTCATCTGGAAATTCTGGTGGCACGCTGGCTTCTTCCATCAGTCTTCGACGCTCGAGCTCTTGCTTGTCCTCCGTCGGGTGGCCAGCGGTTACTTCGTCCTCTGTGGGTGCGGATGGAGCAGCTTCGGCTTCGTCCATGTCTGGAACAACGGGGTCAGAGGATGCCGCACGAGGCGTGTCTTCTGCATCGTAAATATCGTCGTCTTCCCCTGGTGCTGAAGGCCCCGCGGGCGGTTGACTTGGTAATAGTCTTGTTTCAGCTTGTCGTATTCTGTCCTTCTCGGACATGTGGCTCTGATCAGGCATCTGAGGCGGCGGAATGTAGGACGGGGCGGCCTGTGGGCGATGGCCATTTACTTGAATGTCTCGTGATGAACCCGTCGTAGCCAAGGAAGATTGCTGTTGGACATCAGCAGGATGTGGAGGCGGGGTGGTGTAGTCGAGTTGAGCATTAGGAGGTGATAGGTGTGACTGCCCATTGGCGAGTATTGAGTTGAGTGGATGGTGAGGGCTATTATGGGATGGAGTTTCAGGCTGGATGATTTCGTCCTCGCCAGCCTCCTCCGCAATTCGAATGGTTCTTGTTTTGGCGACTGGCTTCGCAGCTGGCCGTGCTTTGGAGCTGTCGGTAGTCCCCACGACGGTTTCAAACGACAATGATATGATGCCCTTTTCACGTCTAACCTGCGAGGTGTCTGCAATGTTGGAGCCCCTCTGGGGGCCGAATGAGCCTTGGTTTGAGTCTGTATTGCTGCCATTGGATGTGCCAAATCTTGATGTCGAACCACCAGCCCCTAGCTGACTCGACAGCCTGCCTCCAAGGTCAACAATCACTTCAACTTGATACTTGAAGCTTATCATGTCACCTGGCACAGCCTTGATTGTTGGGAAAGCATCGTCAGGCACCCTCACGGAGACTGTGACTGAAGCCTGCAGCGTTTGAGGGTCGATGATGAGAGGTGCGGCATTCTGGTCCAAGTCCTTGCGAAACATGCTCGTTGAGCCACTTGACGACAATGACAGCCCTGCCAGCCCAGTTCGTGACTTTGGATACGGGTCGTCTTTGTGTAGCTTCCTTGCGAAGTGGACGCCTTGGGCGATCAATGATGGCGGTGGGTTTGTATCAATCCTCCCTTGCCGAAACAGAGTCGCAATGACACCAGTCATGCTCTTCACCCTCTTGATGTGCTGCACCATAACTCTCACCGAGACAGTGTCACCAGGAAGGCAGCCGCCCTTGAGCAACTCGACGGTCGTTGTAATCGTCTTGTCATCCACAACCTGCTGTTTTGCCGCAGACGTAAGTGTCGAGCCCACGTGTGATAACTGGGTGAACTCGGCCCTACTGGCGGTGCTGACGCTACGGCCACTCTCTCCGCTGATTTCGCTATGCATATCGCTTGGGGCAGATCCTGTGCGGGTTTCAATGGGCGAACTATGGGTGTTGTCACCACGGGTAGAATCTTCCGTGATGACGGATGAGTCGGCTTCGGAAGCAACATCATTGATGTCGACCGAAGCGGAGCCGGACGGTTTGTCGTTGACGGCAGGCTTTTTTCTTCGCGTCCGTTTAGATATTGGCTCTAGGAAAATGGTTCTCGACCGCGGCGGCGCAAGCAATCCGACGTCTATTTGCTGGACAAGAGTAACCTTTCTCTCACAGGTAGAGGTCGGGGCGATGGTCGTGGGTCTTGTTATTGTGGCAGTAATGGAGTATGAAATGGTTCCCCGTTCAAACTAATATCCCACGTTAGTTTTCTTTTCTTTTTTTCTCTCTTTGTGTCTTTTCTTTCTCGACACCTTGGCTTTATATATATATATATATAGAGAGAGAGAGAGAGAGGGAGGAGTGTATCTTACGTCAATGCTGCTGGGCAGGCCCTTATCCGGAAATATCAAATCGAAGCCAAACTCATATTTGCCCGGCTCTATCCTCCCCTCGCCGCTTAGAACCTGCTCGTCTTGAAACAGACTAATCAGCCCATTGCCCTGGTACTGTGGCCGTCGCGAGCTGCCTGGCGGGGGCAGTGTGGTGACGCTCTGCGCCTTCGCCACGGACGTGGGGTCCTTGAGGACTCGGACAAAGCCATGCAGCGAGACGACGAGGTGGGTAATGCGCAGCGGCTTGACGACGACGAGAACAACGGCACCGCGAACGGAATCCCCGGCGGCATACGTCCTGTGCGGCTCGTCACAGCGGATGTGGAAGTCGACGACGTTGCGGTTTCTGCTGCGGAGGGGCAGCGGCAGCTGCAAGGGCAGGCTCAATCGCGACAACAGGCTCGGGCGCGGAGCTGCAGTTGACGATGCATGTGGCGACTTGGCCAGCGACGGCGCGGGCACGGCCTCGCTGGCACTCTCATTCTCATTCTCGGGATCCCCAGAGACTCGGGCAGCCGCGGCAGGCGTCGTGAACGAGGGCGTCGACGATGTCGAGAGACGGCCGCCGGCTCCATCCCGTGGGGGATCTCGCGGCATTGGGCGAGCACGTCGGACGGCTGCGGGCCAGGCCCAAGGGCAAGGCTCGCAAACCCAAGTGCAAATGCAAACGCAGGACGCAGACGCAGGCGTAGACGCGGTGCCTGAGAGGAGCAAGCGATTCCGTCGGTGGTCGCTGCCCTCGACGCCTCGAGGCTGTGATGCAATGAAGCTATGATGCTATTGATGATGCGGACGAGCAAGAGGTCCGGTCGAGTCGAGTCACGACGGGATGGAACAGGCTGCGTCGAGGGTCAAACCCAAAACTAGACATGGATGTGCTTGGCGGCGGGCTGGGGCGGGAGGTCTGCCAGCTGCATCTGCGCCGTTGGGCTTGGGCCTGGGGGCTTCCCGGAGCGCTCGCAGGGGTCGAGTGTGAGCACGCACGGCCAAGAAGGGACATCGGAGAGAGGGGCGTCGCGGCCAGGGCACATGCACACATGTGCAGGCCAACAGTCAATGATGGATCCAGTCTGGTCACTGGCCCCATTTAAACATTCAATTGCGAATGTTGGACCTGACGATTCAGTCCTCATATTCACAATGCACCTGCCGTACAGCTCTGCCCCTGTCACCAGTTATGTATTATCGATCATGCTCAGGCGACTCGTACTCTCCTACGGAGTACTTGACTACTTCTAAGTAAGTACATACAAAGCACAGCAGGTAGGGCGGCCAAGGAGGTCGGGCATCCAGCATCCAGCATCCAGCATCCTGCCCATGCCGATTCCTCGCTCATGCGCCAGCCGGACAACTCGCCGAATACCACCAGCCCTAAAAACCAAACCACAGCCAGATTAAAAAAAAAAAGGGGGGGGGCAAGAGCAATGGTTACGGAGTAATCGGCTGCACACCACCTTTCGACAATCTTCACCCGCCCAGAGAGCCCCCACGTGCTTTAGCGGGACGACTCTGCCATCATGGTGGCCTCACCGTGGCATCGCAGTGGCAGAGTCTGCAACAACGGATCAAATGGAACAGAATGCACCACACCCTCTCATCCTCCATCCGATAGGGGGGTTACGCCATGCCCGACATAGAAGAAAGGAAGAATGAAAAAGCAAAGGCAGCGGCATGTTCTGAGCAATCAACACTCCAACTACCTAGGCACCTAGGTACATAATGCTTGATGCTTGGCCTTCTGCTTCGTGCTGGAGCTCTGCCAGCTCCCATGTCGGAAAGCTGGGACCAAGGTCCATGACTCTGCCAGTTGACACGTCATTTTTCCTTGTCTGAGACACATCGAGAGACCGACCTTTGCCCGTGGAACCAAAAAACGGTTTGCTTCACAAACAATTGCTGCAGGACGACTCCGTACGGACTACAAATTCCCAAACGCAAAGCCATGGTCGAGCGATGCAGGCCAGACCAAGTCGCCATTGTCATGCCCGACTTGGGGTGTTGCCCGCGCGTGCACATGTATATTTCTTTATCGCTACCTAAGTCTTTCCCCCTCCTCCTCCCTCCTCTTCCATCTTGTATTTTCTTGTCAAGATTGGCGATGCCTGCATCTTCTAGAATTCTATAGTGGGCTGGCGGCCTGGTTCAACGTCACGTTTTCTGCATCGGCCGTCATAGCTCTCGCGTGGCGCGCAACCACCAACACAGGTACGTTTCTGTACATGCTACATACATGTATGTACCTTGAGTACCTGAGTATTTAGGTACCTAGAGGCATATCGAGGCACGAATGCTCTCTGTACTCCGTACTCCTCCGTCTCATCCCTCGTGCACGTCCATATCTACTGTAGGTACAGTATATATACATATACTCTTGTACCCTCAGAACAACCCAAATGTCCTGGTTGGGTCGTTTGAAGACCCGTGGGGAAGCCAAGAAAAGCTTGATTCACTTCAATCTTTGCCTTTCTGTCAGCTCTCAAGCCACCGATGCTCCATCATCGTCCACACCTCTGTGATGACATGCTGGGGGGACATGGCACCTGCCAACTGTACCACTAAAAGTGGAGAAATCTCCTGGTAGTGTGAGCTCTTCTTCTCTCTCTATTATCACCAGATAATTCCATAGAATCAGTTCCCGTAGCTGTAGTGGTCCAGCTCGACTTTCACATCTGCGTAGCAAAAAGAAATGTTACAGCCTCAGTGTATTTCTTTACTCGTGTTGGGTATCGTCCTATGCCAGCCAACCACAAAATTGTACAAAACACATAACCTGCGCCACTAATGCCATGAATGCTTTCCATCATCTAGTGCTCCTCACATCACGTACGCCTGTGCCAAACTCATGCCATGTATACAATCCAGCGCCAAATCCGCCCAAAATGCAACACCCTACTTATGCAAACAGTGCCTTTATACTCCAAGACGGTCGAGTCCCCGTCAGTCTACACCTCAGTCCAATGCCTCACCTGACAAAATACTCCTCAAGATGCCAGCGGCTGGTCCATCGGCCACCGACTGGATTTCTTTCTCTCCTACGCAGCTAGCGATACGCTTCTCGCCTTCACTGCCAACAGTCGACTTCCGCCCACGCTTGCTAGGTGTCTGTGCCATGTTGAAGCTGCCATTCTTGCCATCCACAGCAGCAACGAGGCCCAACGTCTCCAAGCTGCCAACAACCTCTCGGAATTCTGAACTTGACAGTGGGTGCAGCAAGGAGTCTCGGGTGCACAACTGACAATATGTGTCAAAGAGAATCTTGATTGTCGGCGCCGATGACTGAGACTTGGACGGGGTGGCAGGCGTGTTGGACGCCCTCATCAACGCTCGACTCCTATTTTCGTACGCTGTCAGAGCACAGAGAGCAACCTTTTGTTGGAGATTCAGTGTCTTGAGCCGTTGAGTTGTGCCGTTGCTAAAGGCTGCAGCGGTGACCTTGTTGAGATGTCCTATCGACGCCCGAGGCGCAGTCTCTGCCGACAAGCTCTTGAGAGAGCTGGCCATAATTTGCAGAACGCTCCTCGCCGCCGATCCAACTCCCGCAGCCCCATTCACATTTTCGCTCAAGGGCCGCTTGGACGGTGTCATCTGCAGTAGCTTCTCTCGAGCCTCTTCCTCATGTTTCGATCTGGTCTCGGTTTCGATCAAGTCCAGTGCACGGCGACATATCTCAAAGGCCTTTCGAAGATCTCCAGTCTGGCTGGCGACTTTTCGAGAGCACAGCTCAATGGCGGCTGGGTGAATAAAGGGAACGTAACCGTCCTTGCCACCCTCAGGCATGAGAGACTTGAGCCTTGTGGTGATGATATTCTTAACCTGGGCGGCCGTGTATGGCAGGAACGGCAGTAGATCTGGCTTCAAATTCTTCGACTTCAGTCGTGGCAGGAAGCGATCGGTCAAATCCAGAGCGTTTGCGATGCCGATCAGGGTCAGACGGGATGATTTTTGAAGAGACCACTCAAATACCCGGTAAAGGCTCTCAAGGCCCATGGTCATGATGTGATCGATTTCGTCCAGGGTGATTAGGTAAACTGAGGATGACTTTGTTTTGGGGCAAAATGCCAGCTGGAGTGCTGAAATAGCTTCAGTCTCTGATGAGATGTTGGTGTCTTCTCCGAGCTCGTTGAGCAAGGTGGTGTACAGGTCTTTGGAGGACTTGATGCTCATGCAGTTGATGTATACACTCTTGATACCGTCCTTGTCGGAGAAGCCCCGAGTCATTTCTGTGATCATAGCGCTCTTGCCGGTTCCGGGTGCACCGCTAACGTAGAGACAGCCGCTTGGTGTTGACGAGCTGCAGCGGTTGAGGAACTTGATTAACTCCATCCGCTCAGATTCTCTTCCGATGAGCTGTCCTGGTTCTGCCCCACGGCTAAAGAGTTGCCGTGCAGAGTGGTAGATGGTCTGGATGGTGGACGGGGACAGAGGCGAGTTTGGAGTCAGACGTTTAAAAAGTTTTCCCGCCGACATGACCGCATGTCGAGGAGTGGTAGGATAGGCTGACAGCACATCTCGATGTCGTGGAGTCGATGGCGTGACTGGGTTCTTTTTGATGGATTCAGATCTTTGTCTCTTCCGAGGAGCATCCTCGACCACTTCCACCTCGATCTTGATGGTGTCGTGGACATCGGGAGTGCTTTGAGGGTCCTGGTTCTCCTCATCATCCTTGTAGAGGGCATATGCGTCGTGGTGTCTGAGTCTCTTGGTGGGAGTTGCAACAACGACTATTGCTCATTCAGTCAGCCTCAGCCAATGATGTAGAGGATTCACCTTCGCATGACGTCTCCTTCACTTACCAGAATCCCCATCGTTGCGATCCCTCTTTCCCAAAGCAGAGCGAGGCATTGTGATGGACAGTGCCTTCCAAATTATGGCTATGCGGTGCAATTGAAGAGCGGTTGTCCTTGCCGAAATGTTGGAATTTGGAAAACGGGGAGATGGGAAGTCGAAGGGGAGCGCAGACCAGCGGTAGCCAGGGCAATTAAGAAGCATGGGAGGTCGTACCCATACCTGCCCTTGCGTAGCCGCGCCACAAGAGGCGTGAAGACGGACGGCGGCGCGTTGGTACGCGTGATACGCGACCGAACGCGCAAACCCATTAAATTATGGCCCGTGACGCGCGGCACGTGACGCGCCTTTCATCGGCACCACCTAAGTATGAAGAAAGACTCTGTGGTTCATTCACATCTTTACATAAATTCTTTCATGCTACGGAGCACTTTAAAGCACACTCCACATATTGTGTCTGCGTACCGAACAAACGGGTGTATAGCTCCAGCACATGAACAGTCCATTGGATGAATTGCAGCCGTGTTCGTGATGCAATGGATCAATCATCAAACGTCCCGTGCTACTAGGAATTTCCAACTGCGGGTGCCAACCCGAGTTTTCCACCATTCTCCGGCAATTACAAGAGCGTGTCACAAATACATGTATATCGGGCTTTTGGAGAATATTCGAGCAGTACGACGTCCTTGAAGTTTACCCTCATGACCCCCGACTTGGGCAGGACAGTCTGCAAATCTCAGTCAGTCCAATCGACCACAACACGATACATTGCCCTCTTTGAAGTGACTCTAGCGTTTGACCATCTTTCTAGATCTTCTTGCCTGTGAGCAAAGTTTTGTCCCGGAACTCATTGCCAACATGGAGCATTGATCGACTTTTGTGGAACCATGCAAGTCGACGGGCATCATGAACCATGTGCTTGGCTTTAAGCCCTGGCGGTATTGTAACCACACCCATGTTCGATTCCGCAACGAGCAACTCCATGTTCTCTACCAAAAGCAGGGTGATTTGTGTAAGCGTTAGGGCAACACATATCTTGATGTGATTCTGGGAAGGCATCATCACGCCGCGAGAGTTGCTGCGACTACAGACTCTGACGTATTATGCGTTAGTTAGGCTCGGTTTGTATAAGAGAAGCGAGATCCGAAAGTTCCAGAATTCTGAAAAGGTTATCAGTGACGCATATGCAAGACACATTTCTGAGGTGCCGGCAATGGAAGACTCGCGGCTTGCCATCCTCGTCATGATACTGACCCACGGCCATACCATTCGGCAAGTACGGTTGCTTGCGAAGCTTTACTATCTGAAATCTTGTCATAGCCATTATACAGAGTACTTCACCAGCACATGATTTTCTCCTTCAACAGCCTCTTGATAAACAGGGGTTCGAGGCGCCGAGTTGTCCTGACATGTTGATCAACCACGAAGCTATGCGAACGAAGAAAGGACCGAAATTTAATAATGCCCAGCATGTATTAAAATCTAACTATGGCATCTAGAGGACGACACCGGGGGCGTCGAAGGAGCTCGTCACTCTTGGCTTGGCGGCCTCGGCCGCGTCGCTCGCGGCGTTCTGCTTTGCGTTGTTGGCGCCATTATTCTTCTGGCCTGCCTTCTGGCCTGCCTTTTGTCCGGCCTTCTGTCCTGCCTTCTGTCCTGCCTTCTGTCCTGCCTTCTGTCCGGCCTTCTGTCCGGCCTTCTGTCCGGCCTTCTGTCCTGCCTTCTGTCCTGCCTTCTGTCCTGCCTTGTTGGCGCCCTGGGCGTTGGCATTTCCGGGCGCTCGTGCCACCATCTCGACGTCCTCATCACGCTGGTCGAGGGTGACGGTGGTGTCGACTTGTCTAGCTTGAACAGCATCCGCGATTGCCGAGTCTCTAGCTGCGGCGTCAACGTCGCGCTTCTCGAAGTCGTCGGGAACGATGGATGGCGCGGCCAGCGCGCCGGTGAGGAGAGTGAGGACGAAAGCAGATGAGACCTTCATATTGTTGGATTAAAGAGTAGTTAGTTGTAGAAAAAAAAATAGAGGCTGTGAGAATGGAGAGTATTTGTTGAGTTGCTAATTGTGGTTGTTATAAGGATCCTTTCGACATTGGAGTCTTGATGCGACAACTCTTTTATATTTGTATTTCTCTCGTACATCAAGCCTGTTACTCTGTGACGGTCTGGACGACGGATCATTTTCAACCGAAACATGATCCACCGTGTTAGCGAAACTATGCAGAGGAAGAGATTGGCATCCTCATCCTGGCAAAGGGTCTCTGATCAGTGATGGGCGTTCAAGGCTCGGCAGCGCCATGCCGCTGGCGTGTCGCACAGAAAGCTTGGATGGTCTGAAGTCTGGTTTCAGCTGCGTCGTCTCGCGCAGATTATGGTGCTTGGGGAAGCCACCTGCTTGCCGTCTTGCTCTTCCTCTTGTCTTGGTCCGCCGGCGCGCTCTCATCGTGAGCCAACTGAGCCGCGAGACCCGTACAGACAGGCTCGAGATGCCACCCCGAAACGGCAAAAGGACGAGTAATATCCAAGCATGTTCATCGGGTGGAGCTGAGACGTAAGGCTGTGCCGAAAAGGGCCTCCGAACCTCGTCGTGATGAAGCCGCGAAACTCGAATCTGGGTTTCAGCTCTTGTCTGAGTCGCTCGACTTGAAACACGTCAAACCCTGCCACCACGACGCACCTCGGCGCATGAGATGGAAGGCAAGCCACGGCCGCGATGGTGTCTTGACAAGTTTCCATGATTGTTCCTTGCTCTTGGCGCCATTGAATGCCCGTTTCGTCTCCCCGCCTGGTTGTTCCCTCGTGGCATCTCGGCCGGATTCCGCACGAATTCCACGAAAAGCCAAGACAATTGCCCAGCTCGTTCGTCAACTACTAGCTCGGGATATTTTACACTTAAGCTCATGTCATGTTTTGTATTGAGTAAGAGCTGACACGGACCCAGTTCTTCGCCGTTTGATGCCACGAGCTCAATGACCAGTCCAACATGGAGCTCAACATGGAGCTCACTTGGCCCGAGTCGTCCTGGAAATAGAAATCTGGGGTTTCCCTGGGAGCTAGCATCTGCTGACGCGCCGTGGGAGAGGCAACGAGATAATACCGACACTAACGGCGAGCGCGAGGCCTTTTCATAGTTTGCGGATGATGAGGACGGTCTGCATACATATACCACACCATCAATGAGACAGACGCTTATCTGGGTAATGTGCCAATTCACAGGATGGAAAATCTGACGATATCTATTCACCAATACTTTCTTGGGCCTTATTCCGCGGTAGTTGTGCTGTGGTTCAACGCAGTGTCTCGGGATACTACATCGACAATCTGGACGTTGCCAAAACTTGAACTGTGCTTGTTTTCCGGGTATTTCTCTGACAAAGGGCCAATGATGATGGGTTTTTAGCTTCGTCTTGGCTGAGCTACTCATCCATCATATGCCATAGGTCCCGCTGACACGAATTCTATCCATCTGGCGCCGAAACACGCTGGTTGTGAAACGGCTTGAGCTGAATAGTGAATACAATTCCCTGAGCATCCGGGTGTCTGTGGTCTACCAAGTCTCAGTCTGGCCCATTTATCTCGACAAAAACCATGCGGCCCAGCAGAAGAAACAAGCCAGTCTCGAGGAGATGGCCATGGCCGTGGCAGCTGCTGTTTGAAGCAGCCCTGTCACTGCGTTACCAAGACGAGCAGGATGGCGCAGTTCAAGTCCAATGACTCTTGATCAAGAACATGGCAGAGTCAGAACATGACATGACGTTCCTCGTTCGCGTTCCGGAAAATAAACAAGTTTCCTCATTCTGATCTCCCGCATGGATGCCAGCAGCGGTCTCATTCACATGACATGGGTGAGAAGGTCAATCCCCCCTTTTGCCATGTCTAACCCTAACAGCAATGACGATCAATGAGAGCAGTAAGGTATTGGGGTATTGGGGGGGGTGTGATCCGCCAAGTCGCAGCGATCAACTAAAGAGACTCCGTCGTCATCATGCACCATGTGTCGATGCCACACGTAGTGTTGCAGGAAACGCAGCATCCAAAATACGCAAAACATTCCAAATATATCTTGATTTCTGCCAGCATTGAGGCCTCCCTTAATTTAAATGTAAGGCATTAGCTCCCCCGGAGGAAAAAAACACAATATAACTGTATTACGCCCTCAAGCTATGTACATTGACTCAACAGCCCAGTCCGTGTCTCTTGACTCCTGAGTACCCATCACCTCACTCCTCAGAGGCTCTGTTGCAGCCCTTCACGCAGCAGTAAGCCGAGTCAACTGCGCTGTTGACCAATTCCCCAGAGTCGTAGAATCACTCTCGGGCGAGTTGCAGGTTTCCTTTCCTCCTCTCTCGCACGAACAACGCCGCAAAGGCCGCCGTGGCTCACGCCAACGAAACACCAACTCCGATGCCAATGGTGACGGCGGTTACGATAGGTACAGTCCCTCTGCACCGTTTCCATGGCGCGCTCGTCGCAGTCGTCAGCGCTGCAACGTCGTTTCGCAGCGCGGCATTGTCAACAATTTCTGTCCCCCCCCCCGGGGAACTATGAAGTTCCTGATGCTGAAAAGGGACAAATGACAGGCGAATTTCCTATTGCCACATGCCCACACTCCTGAGTGCTGTTTGCCTGCTGCGAGGTGGCTCGTATCAGCCCGAGTCTTCTTTACTCCTCGGGCCGCAACGTGCTCGTTGTCATACCAAACGATTCACTGATACTGCTGCCTTTGTGGCAGTAATTCGCGCACGACTATCGACCTAAAGTTCTTGTCCGGACAGCCGGCCCGGTATATGGCCATGTTGTGCGGCCCGTAGCAAAGGCCGTTCGATAGACAACAGTGGCTTTCGTAGCAGCACCCTGAGGTTGACTTGCCTGGCCCTTGGCTGCATGGACGTAGATGAGTTGCTTCCATTCCGTTCCTCCAGTAGCAACAATGTCCTCTCGAAGTCGACATGAGCGAGAGGACTAGTAGAAATATTTGGGCGAGTTTCATTCTGGACGTTGCTGCCTTGGATACTCCCCCGTAGTCGGCGGTGCTCTGCCTCGTGGCTGTTGCGGTCACGATTCGCCAATGGAACAGATGCGGTTGGAGGCTAATTTTTCCCTGTAGCTGTAATCCAAGACCTTTGGAAGATTGAGGTTGAATGAATTAGGAAACAAGAAACATCTTGGATTGTTCTCCCCTGACATAGGCGTCAACCATGACTGGCAACACATATTAACTTGTGACCTCGGCTAAATCCCACCCTACTTGTGAGTACTAATTTATATAATTTATAACTTGTTCTCTGTAATATTGTGACTTGCCAAAAGCCAAAGACCTAACAAAGGGCCGCCAGAGCAGATAATTAATCATCTGTCGCCTACAGCGGCGGCGGCACGAGCTCAGACGCACACCGCAAATATCAGGTATAGCAATAAACATCAAGTACCAATCAATCACGCATAACGGCTGAGATAATATTGGTATACATGTACGAGTCAACTCCAAAACTTGGCTGTCGGAGCTTTGCCATGAGCACGTAGCATATACCAACATGCAAGAAGCCTCTTTGACACATGGCCAATGTCTGAGAATACCACATGCAAAATATGCCTTCTGGCAAATAGGAAAGCTGCATTACGCTAGGAATTGAAGATTTTCTGCGCAGGCTCCAGGAGCCATTGTAAGAACAAACATTGAAGTGAATCACAGACTGAACGTCTACACAACCAACCAACCAAGACACAATCGCCGCACAGCACACAGGCAATGACACAACCGAAATTCATTCATTGCGTACCGCTACTACGTCTAACGCGTTGGAATAGACTAGACGCGTACGGTGCACAAGTAAAAAAGCGCAATCTGAGAAGCCACGCCCCGTCCTAGACTCATCCGTCGATGTGCCCCTTGCAAGCATCTTGTAGTTCGAATCAATGACAACATTGAAGTGCTCTCAAGTTCACTGTCTTATCCCAAACTATTAATCATGTGCCGGCATTGGGCTCCATCAGTGCGTAACATTCCCTGATCCTAGACTTCGTTGCCTAGGGTCACATATATACACAAGGAACATCGCCAGCCAAATGTCGGTTATACAATTCAATCAGCTACCATCCGACCGCAAGCTATGACCCGGCTAGTAGTTGAAAGGAGCCTCCAGAAACACGCTTCTAACCACCCAAAGAAGCAGGATATCACACTCAGCTCCTTAAAATCATTTAGTCATCAGCAACAACGTCGTCGCAGAATACATCATACAATACAAATGAGAGTTTTGGCATGGGTCAGCTCAAAACTAGAAGAGAAAAAAAATACAGCTCTTAGCATAAACACAATGCTGGTGGTGCAATACAAAGACCACTGATCTCACATTCAGGGAGAATGATGTGTCCATGCTCATCCAGCCACTCTTCGCACCCATAGCGTTGTAGGCTCATATTCAGCGTTCTTGTCTTGGCGTTTGTAAGCACGGAACAATCGAAGGCCTAGTTCATGCTCTTGACTCTGGATCATGGCCAATTCCTCCCGGAGTCCCTCAACCTTTTGCTTCTCCTCTTCTCGCCTGCGCAGAACCTGATCACTAGCCAACAAGTTGTCTTGGGGCATAAGCTCCGTCATCTGTTTGATGCTCTTCTCAATATTGACGCGGCGGTGAGCGAGACTATTAAGTTGAGAGTTCAATTGCGAGACTGGATCGTCAGCGAGCGACAGCTCAGGTGGCGCCGGAGGAAGAGGTTTAGACATTGACAACGTAGACGCCCGACGGTCTGCCGATTTCATGTCGCTCGTGGACCGACGATATTGACCCGTGGCATCATAGCCACCAGAAAGACCCCGAGATGCTCCCACACTCGTGTATGGGCTCGACATCGACACCACCGCACGCCCCCCAAAGCTAGTCGACCTGTGTCTGTCGCCAACCGCTGGCTTCCCAGTATTCGTAGAGCCGGAAGCCGGTGGCATATTTGGTAGTGGTGGTACGTCTTCCTCGGCGGATTGTC